TTATCTTTTCTGTGTAATTATTTTACATAAAATGCAATTGCAGAGTAATTTTTGACATTTAAAGCTAAGCTAAACAATCATAACTGTGGCAAATATCAGAGATGTTAAAATGCACAATCATATAAATGCATAAAATGCATACTGTACAGTTGGAAACAAGGAATATTGTTCCAAAAGACACTTATAAACAGTTCTTTCATATCTAACAGAAATTATTATAGTTTGGAATATAGTTTGGATTCTTCTCTTAAATAAGACTACTATGTATGATTAGGTATGAAACGAACAGTGTAGTCTCTTTTAACATTCCTTCAACAATATACAGACATCAAACCTCTTGCATGGTGCCTTGCAGTATTTCATTATAATTCATCATAGTTTCATTGGCAAGACAGCCAAAACAAACCAAAATAAAAAAGGCTTAATGAAGATTAGTTAAAAACATTTGTAAATTACTTACTACTTTATTAATGAAATAGTGAATCAAAGATCCATAGCCAAATACAAAATAATTTATGCATGCCTGTGAATGTTCATAATCTTATTCCAACTTATTTCTATTGAACACAACCAATTGTACATGTTCATGTATGGCATACCAAGAATGTTTTGTATGTGCACTTTTCTATTAAAAGAGAAAATAAGGAATATAGTATTATGACCCAAAAAATACTTTTACAGCTGAAAGGAAACATATTTATAGCAAGACAGTTTGACAATAATTTCAACTCATATTAGGTCTCTTTGAATTAGGGCTACGTGCAGTGTGATAAGTACCGTAATGCCAGAAGTCAGTGTTTGCATTAATGTTAACAAATACTCATTCTGGGATCAAAATAGCTGATGTTGCTGTTATCTCATAATTTTAATAGCTGAGGTTCCAACTCTCAGAGGTAAAACCATGTATGAGTAAGTCCTACATTTATTATCTGCTTTGTTTGGCTAGTCTGTTTTGCATTGAAATGTCGAGTATCACCTACTGGCAGTTAAAAGATACTCAGTGGGGCTGGCACAGCAGCTGCTACAACCTGTTTGGCTTTCTAACAAATAATTATTACTACAGAAAGGCACATAATTCAGCAGCATTGTAGACTGAGATATTTTATCACACTTTTCCCATGCAGCAATAAGGAAATTGCCATCCTCCAACAATTTTCAAATCAGAATCACAGGTGCTGCTGATAACAAGTGTTGAACTGGGAAGCAGCAAAAACATGACTTGATTTTCAGATACTGAGCTGAATTCTGTTTCCGATGTAGTTAGAAATAATCTCATAAAATGAGCATATGTGAATATAAATCTTAGGTGTGCTGAAATGGCATTCCGCTGCTGTTCAAGTAGGTTTCTAAAGGAAGTTAGCTGGCAGAATGGCACAGAATATCGAGGGGCATTCTGATTGGATTTTCTTTAGGATCAAGAAATACTATTTATTCATTTAACATATTTCCATGTGGCAATCAGCTTATATAGAAAGGGTACAATTTGAAACATCTGTGGTAAAAAAATAAACTATTAAAACAATTTAGGGGCAGGAACTGTTCAAAGTAAGATCTAAAAAATAAAATAAAAATTGAGATGGCAACATTTGCATCAGTTTTCAAGAGCTCCTCAAAGGCCAGCAAAGGCCAGCAAAAAGGCAGTCAGACTGAACTCCATGAGGAGGCTACTCCATAAGATCCACTATGAGATATATGTGATGACACCATACTAAATGTATATCTTGTATGTTTTTACCCAAGAAAAATGATCAGTAGGATTTATTACCAAATATATATGCATAAAAGCGTAGCCTAATTTACCAGATCAATTGAAAAACTGGAGTTTACATGACAGAATAAAGTTATAATGTACTTTGCTTAAGTTTCACTTAGTCACACATATATGGCATTTATAATTCCAGCTAACTGCTGGCCATTCAGTGCTATGGGTGACAAATTCTAGTGCAGAGGTCCCCAACCTTTTGGGCACCAGGGACCGATTCTGTGGAGAGCGTTTTTTCCGTGGACCGGAGGGGGCAAGGTTTTGTGTGGTGACTGCATCCTGTAGATGAGGCTTTGCTTGTTTGTGTGGTCCGGTTGCTGGGTATGCCGTGGCCCAGTACTGGTCCATGGACTGGGAGTTGGGGACCCCTGTTCTAATGTGTTTACCAATGTGGTAGAGTGTTTAACATGTCCAACAGGCCATGAGGATAGTGGCTCTATTTTGGGTGGCCTACTTTCTTCTGGGGAAGTTAGGGCTTGAGATGTACTTACTGGTGAGGAATACACTCAACTTCTTATGAGTAAAGCCCTTTAGATTTGGAATCTACCCTTAGTGCATGACCCGTAGAGTTGATGGAAGTGCATTTTAGCTCTATTATCAGGGCTGAATTTAATGCTGTTAGTCTCAAGAAAATAGACAGGGCTCTCAGGCTATAAGTTCAGCTATCTCAGTGTTAGATCCCTGCGCTTTCTGGCTACAAAGACTGCTCAGGAGCCAATCTGTGATTGGGTCTGGAAAATGGCGAATGCATTCTTGAAACATGTTGTAAGGGGGCAGTGGTCTGCCCATCCTTAAGAGGCCATCCCAAGACCCAACTGTTTTGGACATGTTCTGCCCTGCCTTCAGTTTTTTTGTAGAGAAGGTTGTTGAGAATGTGATTATTTTGTAGCTTCAGAAGACGCTGGATGCAACAGATTATATGGACCCCTTCCAGTAGAGTTTCAGGCCAGAGTATGAGTCTGAAATGCCGTCATCTGAACCTGTGGATGATCTTTGGAGGGAGTAGAATGGAAGTAGTTTGGCCTGCCTTGATCTTTTTGATTTCTCATTAGCCTTCAATATCTTTGCCTATGATTAAGAGTTGGGGGCACAATGCTATGCTAGTTCTTCTTCCTCCACGGTTGGTTCCAGTAGGTATTAATGGTGGGAGAGGCCTGCCCTATAGTCATTCTTATACGGGGACTCAGGGATTGACTCTCTCCCTACTCCTACATGAAACTGCCAGGTAAGAATATTCAACTACTTGGGTTATGGTGTCATCAATGTACTGATGATACTCAGTTATATATTTCCACCTCTGGCCAGTCAAATGATTCGATGGAAATTCTGCCTCAGTGCATGAAGGCTATGGGGGTCTCGATGGGAATGATCAGGCTTCAGCTCAATACTAGCTTTGGATGTAAGGACTCCCTGGTTCTGGTAATATCCTATCCTTAGTTCTGGATGGTTTTGCATATTCCAGACAGTACTAGTGGACAATATGGGGTCCTCTTTGACTTAAGGCTCCTGTTCAAAGAGTAAGTGGCAGATGGGACTGGGGGGGGGAGGTCTTTGAACAATTTTACATTGGGTACAGATTCTCCCCCTTCCTAGCTCAGGAGTAATTGCACACAATCGTTCATGCTTTGGTTATCTCCTGATCTCCTGAGTGGATACTGCAATATGTTCTACAAAGAGCAGTCCTTGAAGAACATCTAGAAACTTCAGTTGATCAAGAATGAAGCAATGTGGGCTATTGTGGGTGTGGCTTACTATATTCGTGTTACACTTTTGCTATGCTAGCTGCACTGATTTTTCAATTCGCTTATGTATGCAAATCAAGATGGTTATTATCTATAAAGCTCTACATGGTCTGGGACAAGGTATTTGAGGGATCCTCTTATTCTTATTGTTTCTACCCATATCATTAAGCTGGGCAGAAGGACATGTTCCGGGTGCTAGTCTGTAGGTTTCAGCTGCCACCTGGAAAACCACATCACCTGAGATTAAGTTGGCTCCTGCTCAGCTTTTGGAAAGTCTTGAAGATCTAGCAGTTTTCACAGGAAAAGTAATTTTTTTTACTTTTATATAAATTATTCAGAATAATTATGTCTTCAGCAGCCACTTTGCATTATAATTAATTAAATACATTAAATAAAATTAATTTATATTCTATTTTTTAATCTCTGTCAGCCACCCAAAATTGCATTTGTGAGAAGTGAAGCCATATCAATTGATTAAAATAAATACATTTAAAGAAATAAATACAGGCAAAAGGTGGCTAAGCAAGCTCTTGTCAAAGCATGACTATAAATAAGTGGATTGTTCTGCCATTTGGCATTTCACTCTGCTATATATAATGGAAAAGCAGATCTCTCCGTTGATCAAGTTCAGTCAGATGACAGCACCCTAGCTGGCTTATCTCAAAAGGCTAATTCAGGATAGATTTGGTCAATAAGTCCTCAATTTATGACCACAATTGAGTCCAAATTCTATTGTTAAATGAGACATTTGTTAAGTGAGTTTTGCCCCATTTTATGACTTTTCTCATCCCAGTTACATGAATCACTGCAGGTGTTAAGTTAGTAACACGGTTGTTAAGTGAATCTGGCTCCCTCATTGTCTTTGCTTGTCAGAAGTTCGTAAAAGGGGATCGCATGACCTGCAGCTGTCATAAATATGAGTCGGTGGCCAAACATCTGAATTTTATTCATGTGACCAGGGGGATCCTGTAATGGTAGTGTGAAAAATGGTCATGTCACTTTTTCATTGCCGTTTTAACTCTGAATGGTCACTAAATGAACTGTTGTAAGTCAAGGATTACCTGTACTTCAACAGAGCCACCAAGAAACTGCAGGGTGTAAACCTTGTAATTCTGCCAGAATACTTGCAAAGATGTAGTCATTAGAAGTCAGTTTTGTTTACAGCAGACAACATCTATCTTTTCAAACGTGGGGCCGCATTTTCACTAATTTCCATCTTGAACAAGAAACAGAAGAGTAACACGGAAATAAGGGGCAGGCATTGCTTTTTTTAAAAAAAATCTGATTTCAGCCTTGGCGCATTCCTCCAATAATCAACATCACTCCCACCCTGGCAGCGAACCTTCTGCTCCAAAGAGCAACTTGAGCGACCGCTGTTTTCACGTTCCCCTTTCTTTTTAACAGAGTGGTATGGTCCGCGCTAGATCTGCGCTCTGGGTGCTGAGTGCGGTCCAAACCAAGGGAAGAAGAGGGGAGAGTAGTATTTTGCGGAAGAAGGAGTGCCACCCAAGCCTTCCCCACTTAAGTGGGCGAGTCTTTAGTCCAGCGCGAGCGGATGTGACAGAAGCGAAGGAAGCGGTGCAGCAACAGCAGCAACAGCTGGAGACAAGGCGTGGATATGGGTACCCTTAAGGGGCAGGAACATCAGCCTGCCCAGGAGGTAAAGGAAAGAGTCGTGGGGTTGTTGGGATCTAGCTTTCCTTTCTGCCTCCTCACTTGTTTATGCGATTGAACCTTGCATGTATTGGTTTCTTTCCTGAATGTCACTCGGGAGAGGAGAATCCACGGGAGGAGGAGGAACAATTCGAGAATGAGCCGTTTCTTTCCAAAGGAAGGAAAAACCAGTTTCCTTCCGAGCTTTTTTTAATGACTGTTTCTCCACAGGCTGGAGACAATTGTCTGAAATGGTATAGGATCTCCTGCTTAAAGCAGGGCGCTGGACTAGAAGACCTCCAAGGTCCCTTCCAGCTCTATTCTGATTCTAATTCAATTTTGTACAGCTGAGGACCCGGGAGTCTGTGAAGTGTTACGTCTTAAGCATGAGGTCCTGTGTGAAGTGTTATGTCCTCCTATTCGTATTAGGTTAGCCCCAAGTTTCTCCCCCCCCCCCTTGAAACTGGATTGAGCGATTCTAATCAGTGAGCCTAAATCATTTTGCGTATGATCAGGGCTTTTTTCTTTCTTTTTTAAAAAAAGTATGTATTTACTTACTAGCATCGCTATGCCTTTCAGTTCCAGCCGACTCTATTATTGCAAAGGCGCGAAATTACTACAGCACCAAAAATGCTTCGTAGGTGCCAAAGTACGGTATTGAACGTGCGTGTGTGGATTGGGATTGCAACATTTTAAAAAGGCTAGTTATCTTAGATATTCATCACTGCATTTTCTAATTGCACATTTCTTTTGAGGCCTTATTAAAAAAAATCATAGTTTTGTAGCTCATGTAGACCCACGCTTGATAAGAGTTTTGAAATTTAGCTGAATGTTAATATTTGTGGCTCTTTGTACTGGTATTTGTGAGTTTTGGTGAGGTAGTTTTCAGCCACTGACCCATTCTCACAAACAAACTGGCTGTTGGTTCCAGGGGAATGGCCTGAAGCTGCCATTGGGCATTAGCTTGTCAATGTGTAGAGAGACTGCAGTAGGCCATGGGTTGGATCTCCACCAGTGATCCCTTTTTAGAATGGCTGATGAGATTTAGAGGTTTATTTTTATGGTGTGTTTGCAAATGCTCATAGTTTTAAACATGGAGTTTGTTGTCTTCACCTACTTTCCTGTGTTGTGAAATGTAATTGGGATTGGTACAAATGGCAGTCATTTTTATTGAATTGGCAATGTATACCTTAGGTATAAAATAAATATGTACAATAAAAATGCTCCTTTTTCACAATTTTTATATTCCACATGTACTGTTAACCATAACTGAGGATTAGATACTTGAATTGTATCATTATCTTTGAGATTGTAGTATACTTTAGATTTTACCAGCTTTTTCTAAGAGACCTAGATAAATCCACAGAATTGTATACAGGGTTGTTTGGAGTCAGTTAGCAACAGATTGAATAAAATAAATAAGCTATACTTAAGTACCTTTTCTCCATAAAGTATTTTGCAATAGGATAAACCCCTCTCTCTTAAGCATTATTTCTGATGAAAAGACAATATATTAATTTAATAAAAACAATTATTTTCATCCAAAAAGCTTTGACAGTAGTAATATTAAATTAGTTACATAAAAGTAATAATTTGGCAATATGGTAGCAATATTTAAGTATAACTTTATACACCCTGGTATATCTCACATTTTATAATCATTGCTGAGGCAAATACAGGACTATTCTTTGAAATGAAGGCCTAATCTTGGACACTTCTTTGTATAGAACAGAACAGAAGAGAATAACAGAATTGGTTGCCTCCAGAAATTGGAAGATACCTTGGAGGTCTTCTATAGGAAATCCTATACCAGTGGTTCTCAACCTTTTTAATGCCGCAACCCCCAACCGGTCGTAAGTCGAGGACTACCCAACTGGTCGTAAGTCGAGGACTACCCAAACGGTCGTAAGTTGAGGACTTTCCCTGCCCGGGAGCGCCATGCATGCATGGTGCCGCCCCCTGCGCCGGCCGAGGAGTAGCTGGCAAGCAAACAACTTGCAGCACCGTTTGCAGAATGGGACTTTTGGCAGGCTCAGCAGGGCAGAGACAGCCTGGACAATTCAAGAGAGTCTATTCTATTGGCTTTCAAAAGCCAATAGAATAAAAGGGGGTAGCATAGCTAAGGAAAAGGGGGAAAAATGGCGGACTGCGTTTGGCGACCCCCGTGAAATGGTCGTTCGACCCCAAATGGGGTCCTGACCCACAGGTTGAGAACCACTGTCCTATACCATTGCAGACAAATGGTTGTCCAATCTCTTAAAAACTTCCAGTGTTGGAGCATTCACAATTTCTGGAGGCAACTGGTTATGGTAATATTGATTTATATCATGAGATAATCTGTAGAACATACATTATGATATAAATATAGAGTGCAATTTGAAAAAAAGAAATTTTATTTACTGATTGTTTTGATACTTGCATTATCCCACTCTATCATGATAATTTATATTAATATAGACCTCTCTAATTTTCTTTTTAGGTTGAAACTCGAGAGGATGAAGAACAAAATATCAAATTAAGTGAAATTTTAGAGCTCTTGGTTGCAGCTGGATACTTCAGGGCAAGAATTAAAGGCCTGTCTCCTTTTGATAAGGTAAGAGTATTCATACATCATTACTACAATACTATGTGCAGGCTGCAAGGAAGCATCTTGCATTTAATAAATTGCTACTAAGTTAAAAATTGCATTACTAAGTTAAAGTGAATTGCAGGTTTATGTGATAATATGGCATTAATTGGATTTTCCACTCCAGACAATTAAATGAATATGTTTATCTTGTGTTTAGGTGGTTGGTGGCATGACTTGGTGTATCACAACGTGCAACTTTGACATTGATGTTGACTTATTATTTCAGGAAAACTCAACAATTGGTCAAAAAATGTAAGTTGGTAGGGAAACTCCTGGAAACTAGTTTCTTGGCTTGCATGATATTTTCAGCACAAATTTTATTTACCTAGGAAAGTTGTGCAAGAATTTCCAATTATCTTTACCGGTAATTGTTTCATAGTAGCTATGAAAGTTCTATGCATTATTCTCAAATCAGATTTTAGGTAATGCCAAAATCACCACACTTTAAAGCTGTTTTTGTTGATCCATGGAAAGGGGAATGGAGTACTATTGTACTCTGTTATGAGGGAGCACTTTATGGAAAAAACTCCAGTCTGTCTGCTGTATCTGTATCTATATATTTTCTTAGGAAGGGGCAACTTAAAGGTGACATATTATGATAATTTTAAATACTTAAGTTTGTCTCAAAAAAATTTCCCCCAAAGATCAGAGTCATAGAAAGTGGCATACTTGTCTTGAGTTCTTGTGCTCAATATTTTTATCAGTTGAGTTCAGTCATTTAGATAGCAATTCTATACCTGCTTATGTGAAAAATAAGACACTCTGTATTAGGTGAAATTTCTAAACAAATTAGTGGGATGCGTTGTTTTACTAGCAGTTTAGTTTTATCCACCAGGGGGCTCTTTTAGGATGTTGGTATATGTGTGTGTGTGTGTGTGTGTGTGTGTGTGTGTGTGTGTGTGTGTGTATTCAGATTTCTTTTTTGCTGACAAAGAGTTAAAGAATTAAGTGGGAGACTAGAATAGCTATTTCGAGCTCATTAGCATGTAGCCTGCCTAGGTTCGAATCCCATAAAGGGTGTGGCTACCTGATGAGAGCATAATGAGCTTGAAATAGTCTCCCACTTAATTCTTTAACTCTTTGTCAGCAAAAATAAATCTGAATTTGTAATGTATCGCAGTAGCGACTTGAATCTGCTTAACGCCCCTAGCTGGGGAGCTGCAAGGCAAAAGTGATTATTAAAAAAAAAAGTAGAACTGCAGTATAGCAGTCAAAATGCCAAGGTGCAATCAATCAGACCAGTCTGTCTGAAAAACTTTCTGTATGTGTGTGTATATATGGGATGGGAGAACGGGGAGCAGCGAGCGGTGAATGCCTGCTGTTGAGGCGGAGGAGTCCCTTGGTGGAGAAAAGGAAAGGGGGATTTGAATGGAACGGACAAAATATTGGCCAGCAGCGAATGGAGTAGCGGAGTCCCATTGTTAACACGGCGAAAGGGAATAGCCCTCATGAACAAAGGGGGAGAAATGTCGGATTGGATGATGGACAAGCTGGGATGACGTGTATGGAAGGAGATAGGAGGGTGGATGATGTGGAATGGGGTGAGACATCTAGGTTGCAATCGTTGGGGGTGAGGAGGACCGATCATAACTCAGTTAGGACACAAAGGGGCTAGAAGAAAACTGAATGACCTGCGCCCCCCACCTAGCAAGGAGAGTTGTGCGTGGGGAGGTGGGAGAATAGAAATGGTTACCACAGGAAAGAGAGAGGAAAGGATCCTTTCTAGCCCCAGAATTAATAATGGAGGTATGCATGGCAGAGTACGGAGAGGGAATGGGAAGGCACCACATGCCGACGTGAGAGATGCACTCGGAACTCAGCACGATCAGCTGGGACCGATTACATGATCTAGAAGCCGGATGCAGGCAATCAGAAGCTGTATATAAGCTCCTCCCAATATATATATATTTGTTTTCTGAGGTTTTCGCGGGTCTTTGTATGTAGGTCTTTGGTTATTCGGGTTTTCTCCCACGTAAAATTGGAAGTGTCTTGGCGACATTTCGATGAAGTCCCATTCGTCATCTTCAGGCTGGTGTTTTCAGTTTTGTGCTTCTAGGAGCAATATATATATATATATATATATATATATATATATATATATATATATATATATACACACACACACACACACACACACACACACACACACACTTGCACATTTCTAAATTGTCTCATATTTGCCTTTGTCCAGTGCCTTAACAGAGAAGATTGTATCAGTTTTACCTAGAATGAAATGCCCTCACCGCTTGGAGCCACATCAAATACAGGGATTGGATTTCATTCACATTTTTCCTGTTGTGCAGGTACATGCATCTTGATATATAAGGATAGCTCTGCTGATTAAAAGAAAGAGGTTCATTTTCTCAATTATCTTTTTGATAGATGTAACATATCCCGATCTTTTTTTTCCCCTTCCCACAACTTTTTGTTTCTTTGTTGCTCTTAGTGGCTTGTAAAACGTGCAATAGAAACCCGGGAAGAAATGGGAGACTACATCCGGTCATATTCCATATCTCAGTTTCAAAAGATACACAGTTTACCAGAGGTAAACATTTGATTCTTCTGTGATTTGAGAACTGGCATCAAGAGTGATTCTCTTCAGCATCTTTAAATTGTACAGGGTTGAAGCAAGTTGCACAGCTGTTTCAGCTCATAGAGTTTTAGGACAGAAACTGATGTATCAAATGTCAGGAGCTGATACTGGAGCAAAACAAATGTCAGCACTCCTTCTTTAATGTTAAATATCCAGTTGTATTACTAGCCATTTGGGAGCATTTCTAAAATCATCTGGAAAATTGTTAACAGCATTTTAAAGCAATGTGCTTGTCCAGCACTAATTGACAGATAACTATTTTTATTACAAGATTAATTTCTGTAGTGTCATTGGGATGTTTAATGTCCCATATTTATGAGATATCAGTTCTGCACGATTGGAGGTTTTTTTAAGAACATTTCTTGTACAGTTTTTCCTGTCTTAAAAAAAACACTATGTTCCAGTTATTTGTCTCCAATTCATTTATGGAAGGAAAATCTAATTGTAAGCTTTTTATGATTAAAAAAAGGGTGTGCAAAATATTTTGAATTTGAATTGTTCTGTATTTGAAACATCAGGCTTCTGATTTGAAACAGTTGTATAAAAGATTTTGAAACCTTTCTTTTCTATTCAGAGCATACCATCTTAATAATTTAATAATTTTGGAGGCATTTTAATCTCAAACTACTGTTTCATAGCCCAAACACATTTTTAAGATAATCAAAGCAGACCATTTTGATTCTGAAACAGCTAAACCAAAAACAATACAACTTTTTAAAACCTGAAATAAAATATAATAAAAAATAAATATATTTAGAATAGACATATTTATTATAGACATATTTAGAGTTTGAATTCAAAAGTTAAAAGTTGCACATTGTCATTAAAAATTATTAATTTTCAATATTCACATCGTATCTTCTGTTGTAACAAGGTGCTTTAGATTTAAAATCTTTGTTTTTAAGAACTATCATTGAGATACAATTAAAACATTTAATGCCAGGACAGGTATATTTTCTTGTGTTAGCTGGCTCTATTATTTGTAAGCTGGTAAGCATCTTTTTCTGCCTCCTGTGTAATAACAAATATCAAAGCCTTTGCTTTCGATTAGACAGGTATATTTTCTAAAATTATAGTAGAGTATATTATATAGCATTAGGATGTAAGCATAAATGGTATTGTATTTTTGGCTATTTTGGAGTAAGCCCTAAAGAGTTTAATGACCCAGATAAATACTTCTGCAATTGTATTCTCAGTGTGAAAGTATCAAAATGACATAACTTCAATTTTTTTGTGTATTTGAGTGTCACAATTATTTATACAGCAAGGTTCCAAACTTTGTTATCCCTGTAGAAACCAAAAGTGTATTGCTATTGTTTAAATGTATTTCAATTGCCTTGCAGGATGATGAATTCATGCAACGAAAAGAAAAAGCTATAAAAACTGTTAATGAGATCAGTGTAAGTGTAAAATGCAATGCACTTTAATTCAAAGATTTTTCAAAATGAAACATTTGATTTAAATGTGCCATCTTTTTTGTTTTATTTTATCTTCTTTTTTTTTCAAATAAGCCCCATATATAAAATATTTGCTTTTTTTTTTAGTTAGGAAACTTTTTCAGACGAATTATAACTACAGTAATAATATCCATTGTATTTCTTATTAATTTTATGTTCTGCTACAAATTGATTCATCTTGCAAAGATGAATATAATGATAAAAAGTTTCCATGTAAATAGCATTACAGTGGACTTGCCTGGATTTGGGTGTTGTAAATCATATCATGGTTTGTTATGGTTTAGCATGACACAGGATTGGATGCAAGATTCCTAGCAGAAAAACAGCCAGCTTCAGTTATGATTATCCATGTATTTTATAGCATATGGCTGTTAAATTTATATTGCAAATTTATTTCTCTTCTTTATAGTGAGAGTTCTTGGAGACAGTAAAAATGAAAGAGTTCTTTTTTATTTTTCAAATAGCACTACTAGGTTAAGGCTGGATTAATTTTGTATGGCATATAGAATTGTGGTATATTGAAATCCCAGTGTATGTTTTGAATATTAGCAATACATTTGGATTTTTTTGTCCTTGTAGGAAATGATTTGCCAGTTTCAAATATCACATAAAAAGAAATTTAAAGATGCATAATTTGCATAGCTTACATTGCATTTCATCCGTGGTACTGTGGTTTAAAACAGATTTATCCACTTGTGTATCTGCCAGCATTGATCAAAACATCAGAGAGAGAGAGGGTAAAAAGCTCTTAACATGACTTTCTCTGGCAGAGTCAACGAAGGAGAGAAGCCAAGTTGTAGAAATAATGATAATATTTGTCACTGTAGCCAAGAGAAAGTAAATTGCCTTTGTCAGGATATAATATAAACAAAGGGTATAATATCATCAAATAGAATTCAGACATTGCAATTTTAAAATTGTTCTCCTTAGGCACTTTTGTTTGTTTTCTTCTTTTAAAAAAAATATAGCACTAAACAAGAGTGGGCTGCAATGAAGGACATGTTTTGAGAACCCATTTAAATTTGCTTATTAACCTTTTTTTGTATGTTTCTATTCCTTCTTCCTTCATTTCCTGTGATTCTTATGATTGCCAATTATATAGGTCAATTATTTCAAACCAGTGATGATCTCTAATCATATTTTTATGGCAGGCATTTATTCAGTGAAATAAACAATAGCTAAAAGATACTGGAATCCTGAATAAATGTTTAATAAAAGTGGTGTATATGGTCCAACCACCAAACTTTAATCAGAATTTATGGAGAAATATGAAATTTACTTATGTAGTTAGAATGTTTCTCTTCTTAAAATAATTCAAATAAACCAGCAGCACAAAAAATTCCAGTATATTTGCCAGGAAAAAGATATAACATTCATGTAGTCTCTAGAAATTTACCTCAGTTCAAGGAAGACTTTAATTAGTTTTCTTGACACGTCTAGTTGATTTAGCAAGGCCATATAGATAGAGGAGGTAAAGTGAAGTTTGCTTTATTTATGTATAAAAATGTCACATATAAAGCCTGTTCTTGTTATATCTATGATTGTCAAAAATAATTAGAACTATCTTGTCTATTTCCCAGGAATAGAAATTAGTTAAGATGGTCACTACTATCTGAATCTAAATGGATTATTCACAGGGTTACACATTGGTCATTCTTTGTTCAATTCACTTCTTTTACCTTAAATTTAAGTACATTGCCTTGTTTTATAGCTTTTCATAGCTTATTATAGATAAAATGCATGCTTTTCATTTTCCCATCTTAATTATACTAAAATGAGTCTTATATAGCTAGTTAAAGCAGCCATAATTAAGTCTCTGGTAATTAAGCATAATTATTCAAGACTAGAAGTAGAATTAATGATCAATTATCTTCAGTGATTCAAAATTAAGTCTTATTTAAGTATGCAAGGTATTCCTTTTTTAAAGAACTGGCATTTCTCTTTTATTATTTTCAAGGATATTACAGATTTTAAAGTTGGCAAGTTTGCAGCTGTGTGTGTGTGTCTTTATTGTTTTTAAGTCTGCATCTCTGTGTGTGTATTGTGTTTTTTTTAAAAAAACAACTGGACAGTCTGTTCAAAAGATGGCATAACCAAACAATTTGAGTGATCAGAAATTCACTGACACTAGCCAATTGTATAATACTGAAAAATTATTCAACCAATTTTAAAACCTGTTTCTATGTATATAATGATTGAGGAATCTCATCAAAATGTGTTCAGCAATTTTGGGAATTAGCTATAATGAACCATAAAAAAGAAACAGTGTCTTCAGTGATGAAGAGTTGTTTCATGAAACTAAGTTTCTCCCCTCCTGCCCAGGCTGACATTTCAAGGCTGAGGAAGGATTTTCCTTCCCCTCTGTCTACTTGAGAAGAAATGCTTCATTGGGCTGGAGAAAATCTTCAGGATCATAGCTCTATTCTTGCCACCCAGTGAAGGATTTTCTTTCTCCTCTATCTACTGAAGTAGGAGAGGTATCCACTGAGTCCAACAAAGAATTTCATCTTGGTAGATAAAGGGGAGGGGAAATAACAACAGCAACAACAACAACAACAACAATATGAAGTTGGAAGGGACCTTGGAGATCTTCTAGTCCAGACATGTCAAACACAAGGCCCGGGGGTTGGATGCGGCCCGCGAAGTGGTTTCATGTGGCCCGCAAAGCCATCCTGAAAACAGTGAGGGAATGGCCCCCACTGCCTTGGCCCTGGCCCAGGCCGGTCGGGAGCCAATGTACAATTTTGTAGTGGCCATCTATGCTGAAATGCATTCAGTCTTAGCTCCACAAGGCTGTCCAGAAACAGTGAGGAACCAGCCCCTGCTGCGTTGGCCCACCCTCTGGGTGTATGCTGGGGAGGTGTCACCCTTTGTGAGGAATGAAGAAATGCACCATGCCTTGGCGCTTGCCCTGGTTCCACCCCATTCTGCCAGAGACCCTCAGATCTGTCCCACTCCTGCCCAGGCTTCCACAGGCACTCTTGATGCGAACGATGTAGAGCTGACCATGCCCACCCAGTAGGCCACACCCACTCCATGCCCACCCAGTAGGCCGCACCCACCCTGGCCACACCCACCCAGCCCCCCAAGGTCAACCGCAATGCTGATGCGGCCCTCAATGAAATTGAGTTTGACACCCCTGTTCTAGTCTAACTCCCTGCTCAGGCAGGAAACCCTATACCATTTCAGACAAATGGTTGTCCATCGCTGGGTTGCAGGAACGGAGCTAAAATCTTCATTTTAAATCTGTTCCGGCAACCCAGTGAAGGATTTCCCCTCAGTGGATCCTGAAGATCTCAGCTCTGTTTCTGCAGTCCAATAAAGGATTCCCGTTCCCCCCACCAGACTGTCCTAGTCTCTTCACACACACACACACACACACACACACACGCATGTGAAAACAAAGATGTTTATGAAGACGACTATTATGAAGAAGTACCACAAATGATAGTATTGTAAATTACTTCAATTTAGCTCTGCATGTAGTCCTCAATTTACGACCACAATTCAGCCCAGAATTTACGTTGCTAAGTGAGAAATTTTGTAAGTGAGTTTTGTTCCATTTTACGACTTTTCTTGCCACATTTGTTAAGTGAATCACTGCAGTACTTAAGTTAGTAACATGATGTTAAGTGAATTTGTTTTCTCCATTGACTTTGTGGCTCAAAAGGTGATCACATGACCCCGGGACATGGCAACCGTCATGAATATGAGCTATAATATGTGATGGGTATTTATTGTATTCCAGGAGGTTTACAAGCCACGGAGGAAATACCAAAGACGAGTGGGAGCAGAAAAATTGCTAGATGAGGAGTCCAAAGTCCATGCTACCCTTCTGGAATATGGCAGGTAAGTTAAGAGTGAGGTCCCTTAAGCTACTTTCCAGAAAAAATGATAGCTCCATGGAAATTTACTAAGGATTTCTTTATGACAAAATCATTAAGACAGCTTGCTGTACGATGCTAATATCCTCACAGCAGTTGGATGTTTTGAGGATCGGTTTATATGAGAGGAAATGTGTCCTCCTGAGATTTTATAAGCTGTTAGAACTGTTGCAGCGCAGTGACAATTGAAGTAGATTGCTGTGAAATACAGGTAGTCCTCAGCTTAAGACCATTCCAATATAATATTAACAGTGAACCATGGAAATGATTCCCACCAACACTGAATAGGGCAAGCCACTAATATATAAAATGAGAACAAACCCGACTCCTTACTATCATTGTTGATGTTATCTAGTTTGATAATGAAACATCTGCAAGAAAATAGCCAAACTCAAGAGAGTACAAAGAGCCCCACCCCCCTCCAGTTATGTCCATTCATTTACTAACTGTTCAAAGTTATGACTGCTGAAAAGGGTGACATTTCAACTGGTCTTCACACTTATAACTGTTGTAGTGTCTCCACAGCCAGCTAATCAAAATTCAGTTGCTTGGCAACCAGCATGTATTTGCATTGTTTGCAGGAGCTCAGGGTCAAATGATCACCGTTTGTGGCCTTTCCAGGAAGCTTCCAACAAGCAAAATCAATAGGGGAAACTGGGTTCTGTCATAAAATTGGGTTTGATTCATTTAATCTCATCGCTTAGTGACAGACGTTCTGGTCCCAGCCTGAATACAGGTTGTCCTTGACCTACGACCACAATTCAGCCCAAAGTTTCTGTTGCTAAGGGAAACATTTGTTAAGTGAACGTTGCTCCATTTTATGACCTTTCTTGCCACAATTGTTAAGTGAATCACTGCAGTTGTTCAGTTAGTAACACAGTTATTGAGTGAATCTGGCTTCCCCATTGACTTTGCTTGTCAGAAGTTCACAAAAGGGGATTTCGGGACACTGCAACTATCATAAATATAAGTCAGTTGCTAAGCATCTGAATTTTGATCACGTGACCACGGGGATATTGCAATAGTCATAAGTGAAAAACAGTCATAAGTTACTTTTTTCAGTGCCATTATAACTTTTAACAGTCACTAAATGAACTTTTGTAAGCTGAGGACTATCTAGATGTTCAGTATCTATGAAGGCTAGCAGTAGAGGCAGGTGATGAAAAGCTTAATATGAAGTCTGAGGTGAAAATATGTGTTCACTTGTATGTATCAAAACTTTCCTCAGTGATTCCAGCTTATATATTTCTATATGAAAGAAATATACATTTTTATTTATTTATATGGCCACCTGTTTTGCAAAAGGCGACTCCGGACATTACATTGTTACATTGGAACAAACAGCCAGAAAGTATATTTAGCAAATCAACTTCTGAAATTTTTGATTCTATTCTATTCTATTCTATTCTGTTCTGTTCTGTTCTGTTCTGTTCTGTTCTGTTCTATTCTATTCTAATTTTCTGTTCTATTTTCTATTATATTTTCTATTCTATTCTTATGCCTATCTCTCTCTAAGAGGAAGTCTGGGTAGTATACAAGAAACTTAAATATAAAAACAGTATAATAAAAGTTAAAAAAAATTAGAAAGTGGCAAGGATGTTAAAACACAGTTAAAAATTAGATAAAAGACAAAGGAAGAGCTTTCAGGGCATTAGCCAGCCCACGGCCTCACACTTCTCTGGGCTCCACATGGATGCTATAGAACCATGGTTCAATTCCTTTTCAGAAGGCCAGGAGAATGGGGCCTGTGTCTCCGCCAGGAGGAGGAGAATATTCCAAGGAGCAATTTTAGTGCCAGATTTAATTTTTTTTACATTCTCATTGAGAAACATTTGCTAATTTTATCAATTATGACTTTTCCACTGCAATCTTAGCTGTATTTTCAAATCTCCATCTCTTTTTGTTATCCCTCCTCTTAGTTTCACTGAGTATTTCTTGTGAGTATTTCCCTTTGTGTGTTTTGTTCTAACCGGGTTTGAATTTTTCTCACTAATATTGCTGCACTTTTATTATTCAGTAGAGGTATTTGATGAACATTCTTAGTTATTTAAATGCTCAAGGTAAAACTTATTTCTTTTTGGGAGGTGGGGTGGGGTGGGGATAGGTATTACATGAAAATAAACTTTTCTTTAACCCCAGTCGTAATACCTATTAAATGGTGCATTCTCCCAAAGCCAAAGCAGTCCAGACTCATTATTTAGCTGTCACAGTAATTTATAATTGATTTCACTCTCATTATTTCCTCCATGCCGAAATATGTGTTCCAAACAAATCAAAATATACAGATATTCCAGCTTTCTTCCAGATCCATATTTGGTGTGATAGTATTTATTCCCTTTAACTTGGCTTGTGTTTTACCCAACATGAACGGTTAATAAAATGTGACAGATTGGTTTGCTAAGCCTAAACACCAGATACCAGTCTCCCCCCCCCCCAATAGTCACACGATTACACTTCGGGGACTCCGGCATATTTATGGCCATTTGCAGCATCCCAAAGTCACACAACCATGTTTTTCTGTAGTTTTGCTGAAAACTGGCTCTTGGCAGTTTTGTAGCAAAACGACATCCATAGCAAACAATAGGTTCGTACTTACAACCACTGCTTTCACTTAACAACCACCACAAAGTCCCCAAAATCAGTTTGACCACATGACCGATCCGTTTTACGATCGTTGGGTCTTGCGACCATAATAGGCAGGCTCCGTTATGGTCCTAATTCGAGGATTGCCTGTAATCTTAAATGATCTCTTAAACAACAAGGACTCTTGTTATTTTCCATCCAGCAGTTCAGCCTTTTCTAGGCAAAGGAGAGATGTCAGGGACTGGGCCTTTGCACGCTGAGCCTATGTTCCATCAAACAAGCTGTGGTCTTTCTCTCCTCTGCTGTGTTTTAGAGCTTTGACAGTTCACTGGAGAAGGCACGTGAATAGAAAATGTACAACATTATAGGGAGATTAAAAGAGTCTAGCTTTGCAGGGGAACAGCGAAATGCTCTTGGAAGGAAGGTAGTCTTTTATTGGATATTTCACCAACAAGCAGCACTAGAGTAGTAAAACTGTGAGCAGCTTTTCATTTATGTTCTTCTTTTTTAGTCATCAGGACTGTGTGCTGTTTTTTTTTTTTTTAAAATAATTTATTTATTAAATCTGCTTGCCACCCATCTTACCCAGAAGCGACTTTGGCTGGTTTACAGTGTTAAAAAGAATAAAACAATACAAAAACATGTATCTAATAGGAATAGAATACTATAAAAATACAAATTATCTGCTATAACTAAAAGATGGGGAGTGAGTGAGTAGCATGAGCGGGGAGGGGGGAGATGGTATCTGTTATTAATCTATCACCTCCAGTGTGATGCTCCCCCACTGGAGCCCCAGCTGTTACATTAGCGTAGGCACCCTTGGGGCTAAGGTGCCCTTCTCAGCATCCAAGATTGAATTGCTGAATTTTAATGCCAAAATTTTTGGAGTATGGCTTAGTTTTCTTAAGGTGGTGGAGGAGAGTTGGAGGCCTCTGAAGGCAAATCCGTCCCTTCCCAAACCACTGAAAAACCACTGAAAAAATGACAGAAGAACAATTTAAAAGTAGTAAATTCAGATTGCTTGTAGGAAGATTGTGTTAAAGTTCCTCCAGTCTGCCAGTTATTTCAGTGAAGCCATTTCGCTCAATCACCTCCTTTAGTCTTTGAAAAGATTGGAGGCTGAGTTGTAATCCCTCATTGCTCATATATTTTACAGTATAGGGAATTGCCCCATTATTTTGGCTTTGTTGCTGCACTGTTGTAGAACTCTCCAATGTTGGTGAAAGTTCACCACTTTATTTTAAACTCCCAATTAACTCAGAACCTCCAGTCTGATTTTTGTGTGGAGAGTGCCTCATGCATGGGCAAAGTGACGTCTTCTATCAAACTAAAATGAAGCTGCAAAATCTTTTTGTTTTCTCTGTTTATGTATTACAGGAGGTATGGGTTCAGCAAGCAAGGAAAAATTGAGAAGGTAAGATTTGTTTCTTCCTCGATAAACACACCTTACACAGTCCTCAACTAGACTTTTGCAATGTGTCCTACCTGGGATTATCCGAAAAGAGAATTTGAAAGCGGCAGCTTGATTTCATCATTTGCTCATGTAGCACCATTACAAGGGCAACACTAATGGTTAGTTAACCTCTGGTTGCAACTTAGGTGGTATTTGTCATTTCTGAAGCCTTACATGACTCAGTCTATGATAGTAGTAGTAGTAGTAGTAGTAGTAGTAGTAGTAGTAGTAGTAGTAGTAGTAAAGTTGGAAGGGACCTTGGAGGTCATCTAGTCCAACCCCCTGCTCAGGCAGGAAACTCTATACTATTTCAGACAAATATGGATATCAGCAAGAGGGCAGATCACTCCCCTCTTAATAAGATGAAAGAAGGTGCAGTAGTTTTCATTCCAAATCCATCCTGCAGTCCCCAGAGATTGGTGATATTAGGGTATATTGAAGAGGAGAGGAAATTAGTGTGCTTCCAAGCCTGCCATCAGTATCCCAGCTTCTTCAGACTGGTAGAAGAATTCCAATTATTCCTCTCTTATAAGTGAGCAGAAGCCTCTCCACCCATAGAAATCCTGCTTGTTCTGGATTTTTGTAAAGACAGATCTCAAATGATTGGAAGTAGAACCTATTGTACCTTTTCCCATTTAGTTCAGGGATGCAAGGGGTATTGGGGAAGGCAGTTGTGTGTAGCTCTATTTTCTTAATTGTTCTAGAACAGTGGTGGCAAACCTATGGCACAGGTGCCAGAGGCAGCATTCGAAGCCCTCTCTGTGGGCACACGTGCCATTGCCCCAGCCTTGCTTCCCCCGCGACCCCCTCTCCAGCAGCCCCCCTTGAAGGAGACTCGCCCTCAAGCGTGGCCCACATGGAGCAGTGCAGCCAAGGACATGGCAGCCAGGCAGCATAGACAACACTCTGCCCTCACACCCCATCATGCAGTTGATGCTACAGGGCGCGGGCAGAGGGTGTGGCCGCCATAGCCCTGCTGGGCTACGTGAGTGATCTGTGGCGGGCCCTGGAGGCGGCGAGTACTCCTGTGGGCAGGTGGAGCGGGGAATGGAGGGGCAGAGCAGGGGTGGGCAGGGGGGTGGAGTGGGGGCGGAACCAGTTTTTGGGCACTTGGTTTTTAAAAGGTTCTAGACCAAAGGTCCCCCACCTTTTGGGCACCAGGGACTGGTTCCATGGAGAGAGGTTTTTCTCTGGACCGGAGGGGGTGTGGTTTTGTGTGCTGCCTGCATCCCGCAGATGGGGCTTTGCTTGTTTGTGCGAAATAATTGCTGGCATGTCGTGGCCCAGTACTGGTCCATGGACTGGTGGTTGGGGACCCCTCTTCTAGACAACAGCTTAGGAATAACAAGTAATAGAGGAAAGAAGAGGCTGAGTTCAAACATCCTACAAAGTCACAACATTGTGTGCTGGCTTTATTTTTTCTTGGTGTATTATGTGAAGCCACCTATTATTGTTTGTTAACTATAAACTTGTAGGAGAAGAGCAAGCAGAAGTGGGAATGAAATTAAATATGTTATCAGCTTAGAGTTATTATGTTTATCCAAGCAATCCAAGTCCAATCCCTCCTGAATTCTATTGACCCTTATCTGGACTCTTTGTGCCTGACAGAATTATGTCTTTGAGTGTTCACACCCATCCAGCTGACTCAGTGAACCGTGAATTAACATCATGTGTGAACCAAATTGTGCTTGTTTGGATTCAGCATTATTTCTTCAATAAATTTAGGCTGTATGTTGATGGTTTCTTTTGTCTTGTGATTCCATCCTTTTTTTAATTTTAATCATACAAATATCTTTTCCTTTGTAATAGCCTGAAGACAAGAAAGTTGTACTGCCAGCTGGATTTGCACCATCAGGAAAAAATGATGCTTATACTGAGGATGACCTTCAAGCTGCTGAAGAGGTACCCATAATTGATATTTCTTGACTGAAATCCTTGGAGTCTTGTTTAGAAACTAACTTTCTGTTGTTGCTCCCTCCTCTTTTTTTCTTTTTTAAATCAGCTTCGTATCAAAACATTGATGACTGAGATGGCTGCAATGGGAACAGAAGAGGTAAACTAGTTCTATATTTAGTGCCTAAGAAAGAAGTTAATAATTTGCTTTTAATGTCTGTTGTTTAATTGCATGTAGCAGTTTAAAGAGTGAAAATATTTCTGAAAATGGACGTTTTAACAACTTTCTTATTTAAACGTTCTAACTGTATGAGTTGGAAATAAGTAAAGAACCGTAACTTTTTAGAAAAAGACAGTTGCATTTTGCATCTATTAAGCTAGTTCAATCACCTTAGTTCATAAACAGCATACTTGGAATCCTTCTGCTTTCCACTATATTTACAATTTGATTGGAAAAGTATTACAATCCTTGAAGTAGAGTTAGCTGGGTGGGACAAGCTGAACCATTAAACTACAGTATAAATTGAAACAAGGAAAAAAAGTAGCAGGCTCAAAGAAAAATATTTCTTATTAGAGGTTTGTTCTCTGTCAACTGTTTGTGCAGGTTGTAAAGACGTGGTGCTCATTTTAAAGAAGTAGTATTAGTATCCAGAAATCCTTTCATTCATCCAAAGGTTTCATATTATTGCTATTTTTTATTTGCTCTCTTGCTAAAAAGGCCATTTATTTAAAACATTTATATAGCTATCCATTTTTCAGTCAATTCTGGGCAGCTCCCAATCAAAAAGTAAAAGACATACAGTATAAAGTCACATTAAAATGATAAAGCTCAACAGATTAAAAATGTTAGAAACAATAAAAACCTGGTACCAAATCTGTTCTAATGTGCTTCTGCATAAATGAATGAATGAACCTTTATTATCAAAGTATAACATGTATACAGTGAGGTTGGCTGAGCCAATCTCCTACAAGTTGAGGGAAAAGTTGCCACTCTTAAGAAGGCCTTTCCTTAAGAAAGTAACCAATCCTTGATGTACAACAATTCATTTAGTGACCATTTGAAGTCACAAAGGCAATGAAAAAAGTGACATGACCATTTTTCATACTTATGACCATTGCAGCATCCTCATAGTCCACATGATCAAAATTCAGACGGTTGCAGTGTCCCGGGGTCACATGATCACCTTTTGTAACCTGACAGCGAATTCAAGGGGGAAGCCAGATTCACTTAACAATGGTGTCACTAACTTAATAACTGCAGCGATTCAGTTAACTGTGGCAAGAAAGGTTGTAAAATGGGGCAAAGCTTCCTTAATAAATATTTTCTGCTTAGCAACATAAATTTTGGGCTCAATTGTGGTGGTACGTTGAGGACTACCTGTACACAGTTATGAATTGGAGAGAGAGTCACTGCCAGTGTGAGAAGCTTGTACCCAAATAGACATGATTCAGAAAGGAAAAAGAGGAATGGGAAGGGAAAAGGATAAAAACAAAGAAACAATTTTCATTGTATTCCTGATCTTCATGGAGATATGCGTTTGTATGCCTTAAACCAACTTGAGCTATGCTTTCAGGGCAGATTGACCGCAGGCACCGTAGGCCAGATAGTTGGACTTCAGTCTGATGAGATCAAGCAAATTGTATCGGAATATGCTGAAAAGGTAGGTTATTCTCATTTTTAAACAAACTTTGATCTAAGGCTTTTTTGTTTGCAACTTCCTGTATGGCAACTTTTTAAAAACAAACTTCTACCCATTAGAACAGTGGTTCTCAACCTGTGGGTCGGGACCCCATTTGGGGTCGAATGACCATTTCACTGCCAAACAACACAGTCTGCCATTTTTTTCCCCTTTTCCTTAGCTGTGCTACTCCCTTTTATTCTATTGGCTTTTGAAAACCAATAGAATAGACTCTCTTGAATAGAGTCTAATTCTATTGGCTTTCAAAAGCCAATAGGAATTGTCCAGGCTGTCTCTGCCCACCAAAAGTCCCATTCTACAAACGGTGCTGCACCAGTTGAGTAGTCCTCGACTTACGACCGGTTGAGTAGTCGTCGACTTACGACCGGTTGGGGGTCGCGGCATTAAAAAGGTTGAGAACCACTGCATTAGAATAATAATGATGGGGTAAGCCAAGGCTAATAAGTGTGTGTTCTTGACTCTCTGTTGAGTCCAGATCATATCATTTGTAGAAATAAATATTTGTTTATATTCACAGGAAGAGGAATGGGGAGGTACATTTACAGTTTCATCCTTCACCCTGAAGCTCAAAGCTTGATCTATCCTCTTCTATAAAATTAGGGAAGGAGACTTCCCAGTCCGGAACTGACATAATTGTCTATTTATGTTATAAGTAGGTAAAATTGACATACTTCACATACTAGAAAAATAATTCATCTTGTTGAAAATCCTAAAAGCTAGATTAGATTAAGATTATTTGAAATTAAAGTTTTGCTTGAATGGCAGCTTTCCACTAAAGAAATTGTACAATGGAGAAATATAATCTGTAACATGAAAAACAGATACGGGTAACACTTGCTACTTTTAGGGGTTGACAAAATTGTAGCCAAGACTTTGGAAAAACAAAACATGCTTTTCCATATGCAAAAGCTGTCATTTTGCACATGCATAAAATAACAACAACAAAAAAGGCCACAGGTAAGTGAACCATTACCCTAGATCTAAAGGTCTGGTCTCTTTTTAGGAGAAATTGCTAAAAAAGTGAAATTGTAACTAATGCAAGTGCAGATAGCAAGAGCTACTGTATACATGTGTGTTGTCATGTTTCCAACAGATGAAACTCTTCAAAAGAACTTCGACGCCTTGTTTACCTTAAATAATCTTTTATTCAAGAAACAAAGTATTGGCACTACATAGTAAAAACCAAAAACTAAATTCCCCTCCCCTGGATAGAAAGTAACAAAGCACAATTCCCTCCTCCAATAAACAGTCATAAATCACATTCCCCAATTAGCTTGAAGTGTGGGATTTCTACCCAGCTCTCCAGCCCGCCAAAATTCTATCAACTCTGGGCCCAATGACCTTGGGTTCCCATAGCTGAGTTATTATTGTTATGACTAGCTGGACTCTCATCCACATTCCCCCTCCCAGCATCAACTAACTCTAAAAGCAATAGTGAAAAATGGCTGGATTTCCCTATGTTGTCAAAGCAAGAACATCCGATGTTAGCAGCGCTGACATGTGTATTTATGTATGTGTGCACATATGAGAGTGTGCGCAATTATGTATAGCCTATGTTTCATATTGATGATGAGCTTTGTGCTCTGGAGGAGGCACAATTCTCTTTGTCAGGCAAAGAGATGACAAAATTTGCCTTGACAAAACACTTTAATTGACCTGAAGTCTCCCATTTCCCTTCCTCTTGCCTCATAACCTCTTTTGTTACTTAGGAACCGCAAAGAGATGTCTGCAGAAGTGTTATGCACATGTATACGCCACTTTGGGCTATGGCAAGTAATGGAGAGAAAAGCAGCGCTGAAAAACAACATCATCTTAGGTCTCAAAAGCCAGAGGAGGCTTCCTGTGAATCTCTTCTGGCTTTTGCGTGGGTTGAAGGAGTCTAAGAAAGACTGCCAAGCATTTTTTCTCCCCTTTTAGAAGGAAGTGTGTGTGTGGGGGGGGGAGGATACTTCTTTAGGAAGCAGCCACAAGGATTTATTATACTGAAATAAAGTACCCCTTGAAGAATTGCAGAGCTTCTTGCATGTGTCCATGTAACTATATTGTACAGATGGGTGAAACAGTTGTGCTTTTTAATATAAATTATAACGTCTTTAATAACCATAGAAAGGCATTTCCAAAAATGCAAACTCGTGTCACAAACACTCCGAAATTCCAATAAATCTGTCCCTGCAAATGCAGAAAAGTGACAGCTGAGCTAGTTAGTAAAGCTCAAAAGTGCCTTCAGGAACCCGCAGCATCTCTGCCACTCTTCCTCCCAGCATCCCTTCCAAAGCCAAGGAGTGTTCTTATCGGTTGCTATGTGAGTGCAAACTCTGAGCAGAGAAAGCTCCAGCTGTCAAGTTTTAAATGAACTCAGAATGAATAATGTATTGGTAATTCTTCACATTGCCTAGAAGCCAGGTCAGTGGGGTTTTCGAATCCTGAACTGCAAGGTGTAAATAATTGTAATAAATAAAAAGAAAAGAAAACTTTCAAAATAAAGGGAAGCAGCTGGAAGGATGCTTGAGAAAACATCCTAATAATTTTAGAGGCACGATGAGCGTGGCCACCTTTGTTGATCACAAGCTCGATTGGATCAAGCCAGTTCCCAGGTTGATATGAATACTCTTATTGTTTTGAATAAAAAAGAATGACTGGAAACTGACCAACTATGTTTGACTCATTTTTGGAGAGTGGGAACATTAAGAGAAAATCAATACATTAAAAGAGCCACTGTGCTTGCATCTCTACATGTTCTGCTCCGTATTAAAATATCTTCTAACAGGTTCATAGACTATTTTTTATAAGGGCAAAATAATCAAGGTAGGGAAATCATGCAAACATGACTTTTAATTCTTTCCCAGCCCCTTTACCAACAGTGGCAGTAGGAGAAATAAAGCATTGTGTCCCTCTGTGTGTACATGTGCGTGTTTTTTCACCCCAGGATGAATCAGGGTCTGTGCATAAGGGTGGCCTATGTGCTTGTGAGCATCTAATCCAGCGGTTCTCAACATTTGTGTGACGGCGCCCCGTCACACAAACGTTATGTGCATGCGCGGCACGCATGCGCGGCGCCACCCCCATGCGCGGTGTGCATGCGCGATGCTGCCCAGGTGGTGCGACGCCACCCCCATGCGCGGCGCGCATGCGCGACGCCGCCCCCGGAGGGGAGAAAATGGCGGATCGCTGCCTTTGGCGACCCCCGAAAAATGGTCGATCGACCCCAAATGGGGTCGCGACCCATAGGTTGAGAACCGCTGATCTAATCAGTACAAGTAAATATGGGTCGCTTCTGTGTCTGTATGCTTTTATGGCCTCCCCGTATGTGATGGGTTTATGTTTATTTGCAGTGTGCAATAAGAACAATGGGGCGGTTTCAGCCAGGCTGTAGGAAGGAGAGGACTTAGAAAGGAGACAGCAATAGGATTTTGAGCTGCTGCCCAGTTGTCTCTCCCATAAGGCCATATTGGGGAAATTTTATCTTTAATTTTTTTTCCTGGTCTTTGGCTAGCAGTGGCCCATTTTCAAAGTCAGTGTTTCTTTTGTTTGCTTCTGCCCCATACCAAATTTGATCCCGCTGAATTTTGTTTTCAGAAAATTGTATCACTAATACAAAACCAATTATATAATTTATTGCCAACATTTTGTTAGGTTGGAAATAATACAGGATGAAGCAGTAATACCAAAACTAATGTATTAAAAGTCTAAAGAAATTGGACCATATTCCTTGGCCCCGATTCCTATCCATGCTCACTTTCTTGTTTTCTGTAGGAATTAAGTCCTAAGGAAGAGTACATATGTTTATATCTCAACCTTCCTGAGAAGCAAGACTTGATCAACATAAGAATTGTAGTTACTATTATTAAATAATGCAACACATGTTAACTAGGAAGGTAACTGTATCAAACAATATACATCTGCCATTTTATAGAGATCCATGGGTAAACTGCAGCCAGAAAACTGTACTTGAGAAGCTAGAAAAAGCTTAAGTGACAACTTGTTTCTCTGTTTTTTTTTTTATACCCACACCCCTCCTCATCCCATCCCACACCACACCCAGCAATCAGAACTTTCTTCAGAAGAGCGCCCAGAGAGACTTGGAGTTGCCCAGCAGCATAAAAGGAAGATGGCCTCCTTAAACAAACAGATTTTACAGAAAACAAAACAGTTGGATGAGGTATGTTTTCACAAGGCGCTTCCCTGTCTTTCACGAATCATTCACCTGCACACTAAAAACTTCATTTATCAAATTTGTGATCAGTTAATTTGCTTTTGCTATTTTTTCTTCTCTGATAATAGTTGAAGGCTAAATGTGCTGATCTACAGTCAGGATGTGTTGAGGCTAAAAAGACACTAAATGAGGTAAACTTTTTTTCCCTTCATCTCTTCTTCCTGCTGTTTTTTTTTTTTTTCAGACCTGCCCTAGGAATTGCAGAAAATGAATGGAGCCATTTAAAATTGTGTGCATGTACATCAGCAAATCAAAGGAGTAAGATGCACATGCAGCAGTATGGGTTTGATGTAGTTTGATGTAAGATGTCTTACTGCAACTGATCAGTGCTATATCTAAGCTAGTGGAGGAACTGCATCAGATATTCAAAGCATTCATTTACCACTGGAAACGTTGAATGGATTAGTGAAATCAGCATACTTCACTTCATTCTTAGATTTCTACAGAAATAAGTGTTATGTCTGCTTCATCTTTCCTGCTTTCTAAACTTCAAAGAATCAAAGAATGTAGCAATTGTGGTCAAACAAGAAGAATCATGCTGAATGTGTAATATGTTTAGTCATGAGATCTGCTACCACTGTTTGTTTGGGAAAAAAACAACTATGCTTTTAGAAATTATGCTAGTTATACAATGAAAAGGTTGCCAGATGTTGCCAAGAATTCTTAACAGAGACAGATAAAAATCTTAGAGGGTGTTTCTTGCTGATTAGATTGACTTCTTTGAATCATCTTTTGATCCATGAAATGTTTACACCATCTGTTATAAATTCTGATTTCATAGGTTAAATCGTATAGTGAAAAATTAGAAAAGGAATTGGCAGCTTTGGAAGTGGTGGAATCTCAAGCAGACACAAAGTACGTGCTACATCTACTCCCATTCTGTTTTATTCCTTTCATAGTGGTGTACTTTGTTGTTTAATTTTTTTCCCCATAAAGTATTTAATAGCACAGCATTTGTGTCAGAAGCACCAAAACACACTTCTGGGTTGAAAGGATTAGCTGGTGATATCACCGTTGTCCGGAGGAGGGGATGCCCAATTGGGGGGCCTTTCATGTCTCCAGTAGGAGCAAGGGATGGGAACTTAACTTCGCCCCATGGCAGCATTTGGGTTTCGAATGTCGGCTTGCTAATCTACCCAACATCCTAACCATGTGAGCCACTGTGCTCCTTATATTGTATAGCAAATAGAATTTGCTATCAGTAAGATGTACTGATTTATCTATTTTTATTTTAAATTTTATGCAAAGCCAGAAAGGGTATACACACAATAAAAATGCATATGCTCTTACACGTGTTTATTTGGCTCAAGGTTTTGTTTTCACTATGTACACAAAGTATATGGCTTGGAATTGCAGTGGATAAGAGGCCAAGATGTTACATCCCAAAATTATAGGCTTTGCTTCATAGCCTTTATTGCTGCAGCTGTCAAAAAAGCCAACACAGTGCTAGGCTGCATTAACAGAGGGATAGAATCAATATCACATAAAGTGTTAATACCACTTTATAACGCCTTGGTAAGGTCACAACTGGAATACTGCCTTGAGTTTTGGTCACCACAATGTAAAAAAAGATGTTGAGAGTCTACAAAAAGAGTACAGAGAAAGATGAGTAGGGGACTGGAGGTTAAAACATATAAGGAACGGTTGCTGGAATTGGTTATGTCTAGTTTAATGAAGAGAAAGACTAGGGGGGACATGATAGCAGTGTTCCACTATCTCAGGGGTTGCCACAAAGGAGAAGGAGTCAAGCTATTCTCCAAAGCACCTGAAGACAGGACAAGAAGCAATGGATGGAAACTAATCAAGGAGAGAAGCAACCTAGAACCAAGGATAAATTTCCTGACAGAACAGTTAATCAGTGGAACAACTTGCCTCTTGTGAATGCTCCAGCACTGGAAGTTTTTAAGAAGAGACTGGACAACCATTTATCTGCAAAAGTATAGGGTTTCCTGCCTGAGCAGAGAGTTGGACTAGAAGACCTCCAAGGTCCCTTCCAACTCTATTGTTGTTGTTGTTACACTGAGTAGCAGATTTGGAAGGATTAGCAGTTTTAAATATTAGTAAAGATATGTGCAGCAAACTTTGGCAAGAAAGAATCAGAAAGTTTGGCAGTGGCTGGATACAAAATACTTATGACTAATTTAAGGGGTTATTGCTTTAAACCACATGTTTTTTTTTCTCCCTGGAATTAAATGGGTTACAGTTTAATTCTAATTTACCAAGAATTAGGGTATTAACATTGCTAGAGTGTAAATGAGTTTAAAAAATGTTTTTTAAGTTGGGCTTTTTATATATATTTTTAAGAAGCAGAATTTGCGAATAACATTTGGTAATATTTAAGTGAACAGAAATTACTTTAATGTGATATGTATAAAAATTTAACACTGGTGAACTGATTTAGAGAATCTGAATACAGAGAGAGAGAGAGAGAGAGAGAGAGAGAGAGAGAGAGAGAGGGAGGGAGGGAGGGAGGGAGGGAGGGAGGGAGAGAGATTGCCTATGTTGGAGTTTTTCCAATTCTTGGCGTGGGTTTGTATTGTGTACCCATTCATGTGTGTATACACATACATGCAGAGTCATATATTTTTGCCCTTGTTGGACCTCTTCCTATCCATAGCATGATGATGCCAGGAAAGATGTGGCATCTTTGATCTATTACCATCAGATTCACCATGTTCACCCATGTATTCTCTTTAAATCTGGAACATTGCACTCCCTTAATTAGCATAACCTGTTAAGGTAGGTGATACTCACTAGTGTTTTTATTATTGCCAGGAAGACTTACAGCAGAATTTTAGGGCATATTCCAGAGGTTACAGGATGTTTTTAAAGCTTGCTCTCTGTGTTCAGAGAAAAAGATCTCTTAAAAAGGGTGATCTGATATTACTAATATGTGGCTTCAAGAAGATCACAGCCATATTTTCTTGATCTCTTAAGAGGATAAAAAGGAAACTTGGTACAAGTATGCCAAGAGAACACTTGGTGCACAATGAAAAAAGTGAAGAAAAGCAAGAGCTTTTCCCAAGTCTAAACACAGGAAAAAGTGATTCTTATAACTCAGTTTCTCTCCACTGTAAAAATGCTTATATGTTCAAGCATTTGAATATATATATGGGTAGAACCATAGCTTAGATATCTTGATTTTTGGTCAATGATGATTTGAATTCAGAGGTTTCCCAAAATGGTCAAACTACATCAAAACAAATTATGGACTAAAATGTTTTACAAATGTTCCTACTGAAACTTTTAATCCCTATTTTTACTGTATAATTTTTGAAAGAATACCATCAACATGATGCAAGTGCATTTCAGTTTCACTTGCCTTGGTATATTCCTTTTAGGAACCTCTGTTTGAACTTCTTTTATAAACACAGTAGGTTCAAACTGAAGTTCCTATTCTGTCTTTTTTTTTTAAAAAAATTACTTTTTAGAAATATTTTATGTAGGACAAAATGTAACTAGTAACTTAGATGGTTGTTTTTCACAAGGTTATGTTTTATTAAGCCTATTCACCATCTTTAATTCTGTTATTATCAGATTGTTTCAGATAATTAGAAAAAAAAAGGTTTTCTCTTCATCTAATGCTTACATTTGCTTAGAACAGGTGTTTTAAATCCTCAGATTTAATTCGTACATATTATTATCCTAGTGTATTGCAGAAGCTTCGAGCGCTGGTGGCAATGAATGAGAATCTTAAAGGACAAGAACAAGAATTTAAAGCACATTGTAGGGTAAGTTTGAGAAAGTTATTTAGATATGTTTTTGTTATTGTTTGTGTAATGCTATATAAGAAACTCCTTTAAGATCCTGTTACATATGTTCATTTTGCAGTATGATATAACAAAATAATTGCCCACTGTAATCAAACCATGCTCTATAGGTAGGATATGCAGGAATGAGCAGACTGTAAATTTGTAAAGGCTTTGGAATCCTGATTGTTTCACAATACTAGCAGCAACATGTTTTTTTTAAACAAAATATCTAAATGAAGCCACTGAATTAAGAAAGTTAAAATAATCAGGAGTGGACTTTTTGTTTGAAAAAAAAAATGGCTATAGGTCTGGAAAATTCTGGGTACTCTGTTCTTTAAATCAGAGTTAATTTAGGTTAGCCAAATTAAACATTGGTCAAATATCAGTATGAGTGTCACATACACAGTATGAGTGTCACTCATACAGTATGAGTGTCACATACACAGTTACTGTTCTAGTGGTCTCTGTCCAATTTCAGGCATGTTCAGGTATATCTGGTCAATATAGACTTAGTTGGGATTGACTTGTCCTAAGTCATACCTAAGCAGTCATACCTAAGCAGATATATGTTTTCTAATTCCCAGAATTCTCAAGTAAGAGAATTTCTAATAACATTACTAGGATAAACCATTCATTTAACCTGATATAGGGTTGCTTCCTATTTTACCATGTCCGTAGTCTTAGGCTGTAATTAATGTTTGCATGAGTTTTTAATGTTACATGGAGCGGAGGCTAAAAAGAGCACCTTGTTAAGAGAAATTTGGGACATATTTTTTTGCTGTGCAGATGGCATGCATTTTCTTCTCAAAAGGCATGAGGATAAAAGTAGGAATCAAGATAAGAGAAATGAAATGTCCTATGAATTTTCAGATCCTTTATCTTAATGCCTTTTAGGGTAACAGTTATAGATTGCTGGAGAATTATTTTTACTGAACTCATTTAAGTGCCCTAAAATGTTATAACTTTAAAATCTCCTTTGCTTTTTTTAAAGAAATGAGAGTTGTTTTGCAGATACATCTTTCAACTATTTTTTTCTTGTAATCTGGATGGTGGATGCATTTTTAATCAATGGTGTACTAACATTTTCAAGCCAGCATACATCTTTTATTTTCCAGAGCAAGAAATACTTCAGGAAAAAAAACTGTTTCTTCCCTCCCCAAAAGTATGCAACAGTCAACATTAGAGCATCCTATCTATCTATCTATCTATCTATCTATCTATCTATCTATCTATCTATCTATCTATCTATCTATCTATCTATCTATCTATATCAGTAAAAGAAGTTCCATCGTAAATAACAGTGTTTTAATTTTATTTTGTCTCTAGTCCATGTGTGTATCTTCACCTAATTTGAACATAACCTGTGTTCTTGATTATGTAGTTCTTGGCTTCTTTTTTCATAAAGAGTACAGTGTTGGCTAATGGAGATGAACTATTTCTATTTTTTTTTTATTCTTTAAGGAAGAAATGGCACGCCTCCAACAAAACATTGAAAATTTGAAAGCGGAAGCAGCTGAAAGTGGAGAGGAAAGGGTAAATAGCAAGTATTGGAACTTTCTGTCCTTTGCTTCCTTGATAACTATGATTGAATGGGAAAACCCTTGCAATTATAGACATTACACATCCTCTTCACCACCTGTTTTCCTTGTTACCTTCTGGGAGGAGGCACCGTGGTATCCGAAGCAGAACATCCAAATTCAGTCAGTTTTGTGCCATACAGTATTAACCTTGTGAACTCTCAAGCTCCATTATATATTCAAGATGGACAGTGATTAATATTTATATGTTACTTATATGTAAGGGTGTAGGTCTATACATATGTTGTATGTAGTATGTTTGAATGTGTGTTATGTATGTGTACACTTTGAGAGCAAGGAACTGAATTTCATTTTTAATGTGTGCCAATGTGCCCACAGTAAAAAATGAAAATAAAGGTAATCTAATCTAATCTAATCTAATCTAGTTCTGGTTAGAAACTGGCCGGGATGATTTAAATAGTCAGATGGTTTAAATAATCAGGAGAGAGCAGACATTTAAAACTTGTGACATCGTGCAACGTATCAGGACAGTTTTGCCATTGCTGGCAATGGAGTGGGCGCAGCCTCCGGATGACGCATCCGGCCTGTGGGCTGGCAGTTTGACACCCCAAGGAGAGAGCAACAAAGCCTGGAAAACTCTGAGCAATGAATCAGGAGCAGGAAAGTTTCCCTCTCTTTCAGGTGAGCTTCGAAAAAGAGGGAAGAGTGACCAAGTTGTTAGACCTTTAATATCTGATTTTCTACTTTGGCTTCTGTCAAGCAAGAAACATGCCCTAACCTGAAGAAGGGTTTCTGAATCAAAATATATTAGCTTTTTTGGCAAGGGGAGAGTTAGCTATAAATTAGGACTGTTATCATGTATGTGGATGCTTGTGAGAAGAAGCTCCAGAATCCATTAGATATTATTTTTTCTTTCTCTATTACCTTTAACTCTTAATTAGCTCCTAAACCTTAATCTACATCATTAACCATTTGTATCCCCTTCTGCAATCAGTAACCTCATTCTGAGAAGCAGCAGGAATGAGGTGTTTCATTAAGTGTGGAACTAAATAGTGAATACAGCTGGTTCTCAAGTTGTGACTACAACTGAGCCCAAAATTTATGTTGCTAAGTAAAACATTTAAGTGAGTTTTGCTCCATTTTATGAACTTTCTTACACAGTTGTTAAGTGAATCACTGCAGTTGTTAAGTTAGTAACACAATTGTTAAGTGAATCTGGCTTCCCCATTGGCTTTGCTTGTCAGAAGGTCACAAAAGCTGATCACCTGACCCTGGGATACTGCAACCGTCATAACTACAAATCAGTTGCCAAACATCTGAATTTTGATCATGTGACCATGGGGATGCCACAACTGTCTTAAGTGTGAAAAACACTCATAGGTCACTTTTTTCAGACCACTTGTATGGTCACTAAGTTGAGGATTACCTGTATTGCTGTACACTCAGATTGGTTTCAATAGAACTTAGTTCAGCTCACATGAATGTGGATATTTTTATGTCTTGAATAATAGGAACCTACTAAAATTATAGACCAACAATACAAAACCGAAAAAGAGAAACTGCAGAAGATCAGACTGCTTCTGGTAAGTAAGCTGGGGGAAAATGAACTTACTAAATGCCTTCCCCTCATGTTCAATGTAATTTCTGGTTAATGTGTGAATGTTAATTTCTTAAAACGAATGCTTCAAAATGTAAACATTGTTTCAAGCAATTATTAATTTTCTTTTAAAAAGCTGTTTCAGCCAAGAGCTGTCCCAGGGAAGCAGCTGCATTGTAGCAATTGATTCTTTTATCCAGTTCTTTTGGAATGTCACTCCATTTTTAAAAACTATCTGGTTTTTATATTTTGTTTGAACATTGCACTCTCTTAATTAGCATAATTAATATTTTCAGGCCCGCCGTAATAGGGAAATATCCATTTTGCAACGTAAGATTGATGAGGTGCCCAGCAGAGCTGAGTTGACACAGTACCAGAAGAGATTTATTGAACTATATGGTCAAGGTATATGTGTATTTCTCACTACTAAATAGCATGCACTTATAGAGCATGATGATGCGCCTGGCTAATATTTGCTCTGTTAGTTGCCTTTGGATAGTCATCTCCTATCTCTATTCTCAGGTACTTTAAAAATTACCTGCAGATTGAAGATTTGATACTTCTATAATTTATTTGGGGGGGGGGGTAAATGGTAATAAGCAGCAGATGGCACCATCTAATCAACTTTGCTGATCTCAGAAGTTATGTAGGTTTGGCCTTGGTTAGTATTTGGGTGGGAGACTTCCTGGGAATTCCTTAGCTGGAGACTAGATAGTGGTGGTGGTGATGATGAATACCTTTAAGTCAGTTACCTTCTGAGACAAGTCCCTGCAATTTTCTTGGCAACGTATTTGGAAGTTTGCTTCTTTGTTCTGAGAGAGTGACAGGTTCAAGGTTACCCAGCTGGCTTTGTGCCTAAGGTGGGACTGGAACTCACAGTCTCCTGGTTTCTACTCTGGTGTCTTAAATCACTACTGCCCACCAAACTGTGTCCTGTGCACAATAAATTAGGAAGTTGAAAACAGTAACAAACCATGTCTATAACATTGCCAGAAAACTGGCAATGCAGGATTGCCTTCTTGGATAGAGCCATGAAATGTGAAGTGTTCATTGACTCATCCTTCCGAGGTGGGTAAAATGAGGACCCGATTGCTGGGGACAATATGCTGACTCTGTAAACCGCTTAGAGAGGGCTATAAAGCACTGTGAAGCGGTATATAAGTCTAAGGCAGTGTTTCTCAACCTTGACGATTTTAAGGCATGTGGACTTCAACACCCAGAATTCCACAGCCAGCATTGCTGGCTGTGGAATTCTGGGAGTTGAAGTCCACATGCCTTAAAATTGTCAAGGTTGAGAAACACTGGTCTAAGGGCTATTGCTATCTTCCATGATCTTCATGTTCTCTACATGAGGGCACAGGAAGTGTATCAGCAGAGAACCAGGCCAGATTCATACAGATGGGGGGGGGATGGACACCAGTAGAAGAAAGCCATGTCACGATCACTTGGCACTTCCATACAGAATGCTGTTATCCATGCGCTAGTTAACTACAGATAGCCCTTGCCTTACCACCACAATTGAGCCCAAGATTTCTGTTGCTAAATGAGACAGTCATTAAGCGAGTTTTGTCCCACTTTGTGACCTTTCTTGCCACAGTTGTTAGGCAAATCACTGCAGTTGTTAAGCGAATCTGGCTTCCCCATTGACTTTGCTTGTCAGAAGGTCCCAAAGGTGATCACATGATCCTGGGGCACTGCAACGGTCATAAACATGAACCAGTTGCCAAGTGTCTGAATTTTGATCATGTGACCGTGGGAATGCTACAGTGGTCATAAGTGTGAAAAACGATCGTTAAGTCACTTTTTTCAGCGCTGTTGTAACTTTGAACAGTCACTGAACAAATGGTTGTAAGCCGAGGACTACTTGTAGAGTAGGGAAAACCTTAAGTCCTAGAAGCCGTCAGGATGCAGGGTTGAATTGGCTCTAATAACTCATCTTACCCTCAATTTGCCTGTAGCATATCTAGAAGTTCATCTTATTGGGAGACTTGCCTATCTTTATTACTCTGAAAGTGGCATTTATAATCAGTGGTGAGATTCAAATATGTGAATAACTGGTTCTCTGTGTAGAAGCCACTTCCGGAAGTCCAGTCTGGGCCTGGGCAACAAAAAATTAGCTAACGGTTCTGCCAAAGTGGTGCGAATCGGCTGAATCCCACCACTGTTTATAACCCTATTTATGAAGATTGGGAAATAAATGCTAGACGAGTTACGATTTCTAGAGTTCTGAACTTGTTTAAAGTCTATTTACATTTGAAAAGTCCTTTGGATAAATACTAATGTTAGGTGCATTAAAAAATGGTATCTGCTTCCCAACATATGCATGAGGAAATTCCTGACATAACTATTTCTTGCTGCAGGTAGTAAATGAATTGTAAATCTGGGAAATTAAGTGGGGAGCACAACCCTTTATCTTTTCCTGGGTTCTTTTCCTCCAGAAGTGTAGGTATTTACAGATCTTTGCTGACAACCATAAGATCTTTTTAGACATCAGCTCATGTTCACCATGTAGACCAGTGCATTCTGAAATTGAATGTGGTTTCTGCCTCTCAGTTTTTTAAGCAGAAGTTTCATTTTTGGTTTGGAGATGAGGTTGACAGTATATGTGTGTGTTGCGCTTTGTGATTTACTTTGTATATACAGGCAGTCCTCCACATATGACCACAATTGAACCCAAAATTTATGTTGTTAAGTGAGAAATGAGTGAAGTGAGTTTGCTCCATTTTATAACTTTTCTCACCACCTTTCTTAAGTGAATCACTGCATCACTGCAGTTCTTAAATTAACCTGGTTGTTAAGTGAATCTGGTTTCCCTGTTGAGTTTGCTTGTCAGAAGGTCACAAAAAGGGAGCATACAACTCTGGGACACTTCAACCGTCATAAATGTAAGTTGTCAAGCATCTGAATGTAAATCACGTGACCATGAGGATGCTACAACGGTCGTGTGAAAAACGGTCGTAAGTCACTTTTTTCAGTGATGTAATTTTGAATGGTCACTAAATGAACTGTTGTAAGTCAAGGACCAGTACTAAGGTTATCCTGGTAGAAAATACTATTATCTCTGCACTGAATGGATTCTTCCCATCACTGCTGCTGTACTCCTGGCCTGATGTTTTGTTAGTCTGCAATTGTAGTTCAGCATTTTTCATTGCTTATCCTTAAAAACTACTTTAAATTTAAAAAAATGCATCACCTTTCCTCAAAAGTTGTTGGAGCAATGAGTTAAAAATGTGTGTGTATACATATAGATATGGAAGTAAAGAATGCGGTAAAATAGAACCACACAGTAAGAGACAGTAAAAATATATCAGAGCAGATTGATCTGTTTGGTCCATTTGTGTGCGCATAGCCATGCATGCATATGATTGATCAGCAACCACACCAAAATAATATATGAGTTTTACCATTATGCCTTTTCAGGCTCTCCAATACCATTAATAGCCTGAAGAGTGTTTTCTGTCAAAATCTACCTTATTTCTCTCCAGAACAGATGCCTTCTTTTCTTGGCTGTGCTTAATGTAGTGAATGGATGATTTAGGAGAATTCTACCTTTTGCCTGCCTGGTAGATACTTAAACGAGCATTGCAAATCATTTAGAATAACCATTTTTGCTTTACAAGCTGAGGCTTTGTCACTTCCAATAAATTTATGTGAGCTACAATTCACAGAATGTTGATTTTATGTTAAGATCTATTGCCTGGTGCTTTGAGACTAGCTGATTACTTGCCAGCTTAGTTTTTTCTTTTTTCCCAATATTTTATTTTATTTACAGTGTTAAAATACGAACTCCAAGAAAGAAAAAAATACAGTAACAAAGCCAAACAAGACTATATATAGGAGGAGAATATAGGACAATATGAGAATGGATAGGAAATAAATCAGGACTAGATATTTGGGGTTCTAATTCAAATCCATTATAACAATCATGGATGGTTTTCATAACAGAAAAAAGTTGCAGCCATAGTCTGATGCTTAGTCCCAAATTGGGGTATCATAATTGGAGTTTTTAACATTTTTTAGATTGTTCAAAATTTATGATTTTACTAGCGGGTTTCTTTAATAATTTGATGAATATATTATAAATTGCCTATAAAGTTTAAATGCAGTCATTTCAAACGAGTTTTTAAGATTGGGGGAATTGCAAAACCCATGGTATAGACCAGCATTCCCCAACTTTTCCAGGTTGGCAGCCCAGCACGGGGGGGGGGGAGGAAGGGGAAGAGGGATAGTTTTGTGCGAGGGGAAGGTGTGTGTGTGTGTGCACGCACAGCTTCATTTGCTTGCTCACTGTTCACGCTAGTGGGGATGTGTCCACTGCTTGCAAGAATCAGGCTGTGAACGCATACAAGCACGCTAGCTCCCCACTCACATGGCCCACAGGTTGGGGGCCCCTGGTGTAGACTAAGGATACAATTTAATATTACTCTGTTTTGGACACAGAACTAGGAATAATTACACCAAAACTGGATGCACTTCTAAACACAGGCACCAGAGAAATGCCTGCTGAAATTGATAACCCATACAGTTGCTCTCTTAAATGGAATGGTTTCATTAGATCCCATTTTGAACATTTAAGTATAGAAAGGATGCTATTTTAATGGTATATAAAAATATGAAGAGAGCAGTGGTGATCTGTGAAAAGAAAACATCTTGAACGCATGATTGAAACATCCCTTTAACATAATGGATCAAAACACTACAAAGGTGAATACAAACTTTCAGTCCTGATAATCATCATAGTGAACAATAAGTTCAGTTAAGATCCTCACTGTTCGTTTAACAACCATTGCATTGGCTCAACAACAGCTGCAGAAAAGGTCGTAATATTGGGTGAAACATTCTTTCAAATCGCTTTACAATTGTCATGACTTACAACCATAATTGCCAGGTTCAATTACAGTAGTAAATCAGGGACTACTTGTAGGAGACTATCCTTAAAAGATATATACTGACTGGGGAATTCTAGGATTTGAAGTCCACATGTCTTTAAATTGTCAAAGTTAGAAACCCTGATCTAGACTTTTAATTCTTAAATGATTTGGGAGCTATTTTACTGTTCATTTTCATCTGTATTTTGAAATAATTTTCTTTGTGTTTTAATTTTTGTTTCAGCATCTTTGAATATTTGTTGGAGTAGAAAGGTGGGCTGTAAACTAAATAAATATGCAATCAGTTGTGGTCTACTACATTTTTATCTTGTTTTTATGAATTCTTGATTTTTCACAGTATCAGCAACGCACAAAGAAACAAAGCAGTTTTTTACCCTCTACAACACACTGGATGATAAAAAGGTCTATTTGGAAAAAGAGGTAAGTAAGATTAACAGTAATTTGGAAAACACACAAAGCCTATTTTTTGAGATTGATAATATCATGAAATAACCAAGGCTGCAAATCCTATATTAGCTTATTTAGAACTAAAATACACTTTATGTTTGCTTATTAACAAATTATATTGGGGTACACTCTGAATTTGTAAAATCACCTTTTGCTTAAAAATATTGTTAATGTTGTGGATATAAAGATAGGTTCAGTAATATTTCTCAGTGAATCAGTGTGCGACTGATGTCCACGGAACGGGACAGTTTGCCACGGCTAATTCACCATAGGACAATTCGCCACAGGACAACTCACCACGGGACAATTCAAAAATTGTATTTAATTCCTCATTTTAGCCATTGTCTGTCCACTGCAGGACGAAGGCCTCTTCTGCCTGTTTCCAACCTATCCAGCCCTGAGCTTTCTTTTGCCAACTGGGCCTATAATACTTGCTGATGTCGTCAATCCATCTTGTTTTAGGTCTCTTTCGTGGACGCTTTTTATCAAGTGGGATCCACTCTATGACTGCCTTGATCCACCTGCCATCAGTTCTTCTTGCTATGTGACCATTTCCATTTCCATTTATTTAATTTTTTAAAACTATTTACAAATTATTTTAATTTTTGTTATTCACATCTCATTTTGTGCCTCCTTTTGCATCCTTCCTTTAATTATTCTATTTCACCATTTCTTCAGTAGTATGCAATTTTTGTTCGATGGCAAATTGTCCTGGGGCAAGTTGGCTGTGATGAGTTGTCCTAGACCCAAAGTCCACATGCTGGTACAAGGAGGGATAAGAGGATAAGTCTAGATCAGGAGTAGTCAACCTTGGCTCTTTTATGACTCGTGGACTTCAACTCCCAGAATTCCTGAGCCAACCATGCTGAGGGGAAAGGGAGAGGTTTCCAAGCTGAGCTATGCTGGCTCAGGAATTCTGGGAGTTGAAGTCCACGAGTCATAAAAGAGCCAAGGTTGACTGCCCCTGGTCTAGATTATGCCATGTAACTGTCAAGCTATCAAACCTACTGCCTTTAGGACTGCTGTAATTCTTCTTGCTTGCCTACAGTATGGGGGTAGGGGTAGAGAAAGTTTGGATCCACAGGTGTCCCTTATCAACGTGAGAGCTGAAACTGTTGAAGAGTTGTTTTGGCAAACTGAAGTTTCTTCTCATAACAATTACTGGAAAATGTATTGGATAATGTGACCTGAACTGTCAGACAGGAGAGGGAAAGTTTACTCTTTTAATTATCTGCTTCCCGCCATTTCCTCAGAGCTAGCTTCCATTCAGTTCTACTGGTCTGTTACTGCCTAAAAATTAGATTAGAGGATGCAATGACTCTGGTGTTTTGCTTGATTGGGCTTTTCAGCCAAAGCATGACAATAACTGTATAACTTATGGTACTGATTGGGAATTCTTCTATTTTTTACCTCATAGATCTGTTTAATTTTGGTACTTCAGCCTTAGAAGAAAACAGATGGAATACTGCCCAACATAATTTGTTTTACTAAGGAATTATTCAGTTTGGTCTGCTTTAGCTTGTTCCACTAACTTATTAGGAGATTAATCCTCTTTCAGTGGAATTCTGTTCTGAGGATGAATCGGTGAATCTAAATATCTGTGCTATTGAACAGTGGCATAGTTGTAAATACAATACATATTTGGATATTTTAGACTGTGGTAATCTAAATTTCCTGCCAGCACATATTTTATATAGTGCTGGAAATGTGATAGCATGCAGTATTTGCATTTAATATACCAAGATAACACAAGGCTGGTTCATAGATAAATATTCTTGCCATTTATGATTGCACGAATGCATGAATAAGCTATCAACAATTACCTCTTATTTTTTGCAATCCAGGATATGAAGAATTCACATGTTCATTTGCCAGTAATTATGTAATCAGTACTCTATTGTATAATATACAATCATATATAAATTGCTTTTTAACAAAACTATTGCTTGAATGACTTTACATGGAAAACCTTATATTTTTTTCAGGTTAATTTGCTTAATTCTTTTTCAGGTTAATTTGCTTAATTCTGTTCATGATAACTTCCAGCAGTAAGTAAACTAATCACATTTTTTTCCTTTGGGCTAAGCATAATTTCTGTGACTTCTTGTGTTCAATTTCAATTTAAGAAACACTTTTAAAGCCTTCACATATACATTACAGTATCTCATACTATGAATTATAAAACTCTATCCAATAGTTGCTCGGGCAAAATATACTCCTGCTACTTTTCTCTGAATTTTTAAAGAGTTTAGAGCAGGGGTAGGCAACCTTGGCTCTTTTATGACTCGTGGACTTCAGCCTGGCTCAGGAATTGTGGGAGTTGAAGTCCACGAGTCATAAAAGAGCCAAGGTTGCCTATCCCTGGTATAGAGAATCAGTTTGGTGTAGTGGTTAATTAGATTAGTGCTGGCCTAGAAACCAAGAGACTGTGAAGTCCAGTCTCACTTAGGCACATAAAGGCAGCTGGGTTACCTTGGGCCAGTCACTCTTTCAGCCCAACCTACCTCACAGGATTGTTGTTATGGGAAAAATAAAAGGAGGGAAGAGTACTAGGAATGTTTGCCATCTTGAGTTATTTATAAAGTAATCAAGGCAAGATAAAAATAGATAAATAAATATTCTATTTGTTGCCTTCCAGGGAGAAATAGAAAATGGTCCTCTAAGTATTTGTTTTTTTTGTTCTTGACTCCTGACACCTTGCTATCTTCCAGTTTCTCGCCTGGTGCCTTAAGCACTACCCCAAACTGGCTTTCATGTGTTTGTTGTGCTTTAGCAAGATTCTTCTGGATATTTTACTTATTTACACATAAGTAAAATTGTTTGTCCTCAGGCAGCATGGCTGGTACTAATAACAATATCAGTTTTGTACATCGTCCAAGAAACCGTAAAAGGTTGGCTTGCAGCTATACCACTTAAAGAAACAAGTCCCTAGGCATGTTTGCAGCTAAACCATAATTGTCGTGGTTGTGTTTGCAAACACACAGAGACTTTTGTTGCAAACAGAAAGATTTCATGGGGTTCCTGAGTGTTAGCCTGCCAGGTTGTCTTGTTTTAATAAGAGCTCTTTATGCTCATTGAACATAATTTGGAGCACTTGTTAAACCAGGGTCTCTAACTTAAAACACCATGGGTGGCACATGAGAACTACTTCCATTAGCTGTAAGTTTGCCACAGTAAAGCCTCTATATATTTCTGAATTGATACAAAGTACTTTGACAAGTAAAAAATAAAGAGAATGAAAAGTATCACAGCATGTTGTTAATCATACATTTATTAAATTAACAACAACAACAATTCTATTTTCTGTGAAATAGAAACTTGCCATCTGGGTGACCTCTCTCTCAGCCCTAGGCAAAAGCAAACTACTTTTGAAAATGTTGCCAAGAAAACTTCAGGGACGCTGCAGGCAGTTGCCAGAAGTCTAGATAGATGGATGGATGGATGGATGGATGGATGGATGGAAGGAAGGAAGGAAGGAAGGAAGGAAGGAAGGAAGGAAGGAAGGAAGGAAGGAAGGAAGGAAGGAAGGAAATATAGAAAAAGTATCCTTCATCGAGCTGCTCAAATCCTGCCTTTTTTATTTTTCTGGTCTCTTCTTGACTGGAGTGATAGTTTTGTCCCTTGCTTGCTTATTATCTTTTCCAGGGCATTTTTTCTCATAGAACGCCCAGAACGGAATTCTGGCACCTTTTTTGGATGGAACCTTGTAGGGTAGGCAAGGCAGGTTGTATGACGTGTGTGAGTTCCGGCACCTTTTTTTTTACAAAAAAAGCACTGGACAGGGAGTAGTACGGAGGGACAGCCAGACTCCTCCTCTTCAACTACCTCTCCCCATAGCAGTCCCAATCTCCTGCCTATCCTCCCTGATCAAATTTCACTTCCACCTTTTCTCTACCTGAAGGCATTACCTGCCATAGAGTGTGAGAACAGGAGCTATTTGTTGTGAGCAGCTTTGAGGTTATCTCTGAGACCACTTAACTATACCCTCCTAGGCTGGGAGACTGAGGCAAGTTATGGGAACCAGACCAGTCCTTACCCTGTTGTGCATCCTGGATATCTACATGGTATTCAATGCCTTTGCTTACCAGGTGGTATCTCAGTGCCTACAAAATATTCTGGAAGGCTTCAGAAAATGATTTGACAGCCAGATACGGCCATGGACTGTAGATTTGACAGCCCTAAACTTTCAGTACTGCTTTTCATAGATGCAGGATATTATTTCCAAATAATGTTTTAATAAAGTCTGTATCTTACTTTTCACTTGGAACATTGGTTTATTATCATCCAAGAATTCATAAGCTTAGGATAACTCCACTGACTATATAAAAACCCAGTTTGGTATAGTGATTAAAGCATTAAGCCAAGAGATCATGATTCTAGTCTTGCCTTAAGCACAAAACTCGTTGAGTTATCTTGGGCCAGTCACTCACTCTCAGCCCTAGGAAGCAAGCAAAGATAAACCACTTCTCAAAACCTTGCCAAGAAAACTGCAGGGACTTTTCAAAGGCAGAAAAATAAGATTATATACAGTAGTGGCCAAAATTGTGGAAACCTTTTGGGGAAAGTGTACAGTAGAAATGCCATCTTTGATTAAGTTTCCACCAATTTTATTTCTAATTTCTTTATAACTGTAGTCTTGCTCACTTAATAATACTATTTTACATCGCTTTCTGGGCAACCAGTCAACTCTTTGCACCAGTACTTTAATTTTATTACATTTTATAAGCTTACTAAATGAAAGAAAAAAAAAACAACCAACTTGATAGCGATCACATAACACACTGACAAATGTCCTCCTCTCAGCTTCAATACATGACATCAATAACTGAATCCTACTGTGATCTGATTGGCTTATTGCCAAAACAAGATGACACCTGATTGGCTCTCTATACACTCATGCTCATTGGCTACAATCATGAAGGAAAGCTACCTGATACCAACCTAAGCAAGTTGTGCTTCCTTTTTCTGGTTATTTGGCTATAACTTTTCATAGAATACAGTATAGATAATTGAACAAACTATGTTGCATTACATTGTTGATTAAATTATCTTTCCATTGATATATAATTTTATGGTACTACTCCAAAAAAAAAGTCATCAAAAATACAGTTTTCCCAAAAGGTTTCCACAATTTTGGCCACTACTGTTAAAAGAGTAGTATGAACATATACAAACACACATATATGTATGCTATCCTTCTTTAACTGTATATTGCTGTAGAAAAATAAAGTGGGCAAAAATATCTCTTTTTTTCACTTTTCCAGTCTCAATCTTCCTGTCTACCATCTAAAACATTTGCTTTTCCTTTCAGAGCCATGGCTTCCCCTAGTGCTCGAGACCAATTTCTGAGACAAATGGAACAGATTGTAGAAGGAATCAAACAGAATCGAATGAAGGTTAAATAATCTTTTTCTGATATTAGATATGTGTGCCTGTTTCCTTTTTCAAATGTAGTAGAATTGTTCGCTGGCACTCTTTCAATTCCTCTAAATATGAGCATACTTCAATGTGCTACAGAGAATTGAACTAGAACAAACATTTTCAGAGAAGCAAATTTCAACTGAAGGGTTAAGAACTGTTCAGCCACAGAAAATATTGCCTTGACTGGGGGTATCTGAGGCTGGGATAGGGTCTGTCAAAACCTTTACACCGAGGAAAGACAATTCATCTTGGCAAAGGAATTATAGATTCTTTTGGATTAGATAAAGGCTGTTCAATATACTGCCTGCATCACATATTATTTGGACACGATCCCTTGCTGTAAATTAACAAACTGGATGATATTGCAAAGCATTTAGTTTTACTCTAAATCAGTTTTAACTGTCGTAGTTCAAAGCAACCAGTGCTTGAATCAAGCACAATCTTCTCTGCTTTGTTCTGGCTAAACTTCATTTGATCCATTGTGGATTCAGGTAGGACAGCAACTGCCTGTGAGAGAAGAGTAAAAGTCGCTTTGATCTAGATTTTCATATGAATATGGGCTGTAAAAGTGGAGCCTCAGAGTTTTTCTTTTTGTAAGCAGAAGGAGCAAGGAAAGTTACAACAGAGTTAGGGTATTGAAGAGCTTAGAGAACTTTATTATGTGATCTTTCAGAGTCTGCCTGTTTTCCCCATTTCCCTGTTTAAAGATTTATAGATTAAGGTGCTGTGGAACAGTAGGGTTTTTTTTTGGGGGGGGGGCGAAGAAAATCCCTGAAAGTTTTAATTTTCTGTTTTTATATATTGCTTGATTTGGTGTAGTTATTGTGTATTGAATAATGTTGCATAGTGCCATCTCTCTCTTTTCTTTTCCTTACAACAGTTGGAGAGGAAAAAACAAGAAAACAAAATGAGAAGGGACCAGTTTAATGATGAATACTTGGAATTACTAGAGAAGCAGAGACTTTACTTCAAAACAGTCAAAGAATTTAAAGAGGTAGAAGAACTGATATAATTTATATTTTCTCTACTAGAGTTCTGAGGATCTTGCCACACCAGATACTCTACTGAGGTTTAGAAAGGAAAGAACAATCAGCAACATGTGACAGCTAAATAATAGACAGTGCACAACCAAAACTTTATTCAGAAATCTCAGGTCATTCCTTAAACCAGCTTTCAGTGGTCTTCACAATAGGTTAGGTTAATACAGTATGGTTACTTCATGTTTCATGAAGAAACAGAAACTACTTTTGATGTTGGTTTACATATGATATGTCATAGCTTGATAATATTTTAAAATAGGGTTGCTTTTCAGCAAGGCTTTTGATATCACCATATATTCTTTATCATCTAATGTCACATAAAACAGTCTATGAAATCAATGGAATTTAATATTGGTAGTTAAAAGCTGAAAGCAGTGTGTGGGATACTTGGGTTAATACATTATGGTAGATCAGAACTTAGATTATTATTTGTTTGTTTGATTGATTGATTTCTATAGCCACCTATCTCAACAAGTGACTTTTGGGTGGTTTTGTTGCTTATCATATAGCCTCAACCCAAACCATTCTGGCTTATATATCATAGTTCATTATTTAGTGTGTTGTTGACCTCTTTCATCTTGGCTTCTTGACAAGAACATGGATAGAATTCTACAGGGCTCAGGGGGCATGTTTAGGAGAGACACACCAATGCACACCAGAGTAGAAGCCATAATGATGTCATAGGAAAAGACAATTTTTGGACCCATTTTTCCCCCATGATTCTTATGTTTAGAAAGTGGGAGCGGGAGACCTCTGGGAAACAAATGGATTCGCTCCCACCCCACTGAAAAATGAAAAAAAAAATGCAAACAAAATGGGATAGGAGGGCTGCATGCAGTCAATGGGTTACTTATACCTAGTAAAAACTAACCTAGAAAGCACTGTTGTTTAGGGCTACTGTGATTTTTCAGAGAGTCTTGTACTTTTTAACATGATTCACACAGGCCAAATTGATCCCTTTCCATTCCTTCTACCTTTGACCTATCAAATTCCCTTGCTTCAGATTCTCATGTTTATGGAATTTGATCAAAGCAGGCAGCCATCTTGAAACACTAACAATCACTTTTGAGAAGGAGCTTCCATTGAACATGGTGTGAATTACATCTTACTAGTGGTGTCTGGGATGGCAGGACTAGCATTGTTGTTTATCCTAGATGTCTCTTTTAAGTTTGAAGACCCACCTGTTTTAATATTCCTGTATTGTCATTTCAACAGGAATGCCGCAAAAATGAAATGCTTTTGTCAAAACTGAAGGCCGGATGTCCCTGAAGAACTTCAGCAGAAGCTTTTTTTCCTGTGATCAAGTTCATTATTCCTCGCACATTTTTCGATATCATTCAAAAATGTAATCTTCTCTGATATTATCTTTGCACTAATTAAGTTTGAAGCAGAGAATAAATGAGTAATGTGTAAAACAAAATCTTCTAACTTGTTTGGCCAACTTATCATATTGAAAAAGGATTTGTTTGGCCCTCTAGTATGCATAAGGAGCAAAACTGAACCTGGAAATAATCCACAGGTAAAGTAATGATCAAAGGATTTGAAGCTTACCCCTCTAGGTAATTGTTACTATGTGTGTATATGTTTACTTCATAAAGTGGCAGTCAGGTTCCTTTTTGAATCTGTGAGTCTCAAGCAAGAACAATTTTACTTAGCCCAAATAGTAGCATTCAAATTTCAGTTGACAGGTACAATAAATATCCTGAATCTGAAATGCCCTATAATAGTGTTTTTCAACCTTGACAATTTTAAGGCATATGGACTTCAACTCCCAGAATTCCACAGCCAGCAAAGCTGGCTGTGGAATTCTGGGAGTTGAAGTCCACATGCCTTAAAATTGTCAAGTTTGAGAAACACTGCCCTATAAGGTAGTAGAGGGCACTTCTAGTGTCATACTGGGGAGGGAATCACTCACACACCTTCACACACACACACACACGTACACACCCTCACTGTGCAATTAGGATTTAATATTCCTGTATTGTCATCTGCCTTTCAGCACTGGAATTTTGTTTTAAACAGTCTCCATCAATAATAGTGGAAACTGCTTTTGGATAATGCAGGTTATTTGAAGATGGGAAATTGTTTTGATCAACTTGTTTCTTTTCAACAGGGAAGGGAAGTCAAAAGATAGGGAATAGGGAGGAAGGTTTTCAGGGCATATTCAATTCCCTGATCTTGTTTCCTGGTATCTGTCTTTCATTTTTCACCTGTGTTGCAACCCATCTGACTTAAATTCTGAGCATTGCTCCTTGTAACATTGTGAAAAGTCATATGACTGTGAAGTTGCTCCTTTGGAAGCTGGTGAAGATCTGCAGATGTTTTTAAATGTATTTATTTACTAAGCAAATGTATATAATTATCCATCTACTAGAAGGAATTCTGGGCAGTGAAAAAAAAGTTCAGTCTGCATTTACAGTACTATAGGCAAAACATTCTACCACAGTCTGTATTATCTGTATTCTTCAGTGAGAACACTAATAAAAATAAAATCACATTCAAACTGAGTTTGACTCTGAGTGACTCATTGAGACATGTCCATGAAGCTTGATAGAGAAATAGTTTTCCAGTTGTTTTTTGAGATGTTTTTTTCAGCTTTCCAGCTTATTCCCAGCCCTAGATTTTATGAAACATTAACTAGATGAGATCCTGTTTATATTTTTTGATCAGCCAAGGTCCACCAAGTGTTGCCACTGTTGATGTGGCTGAGAAATTAAAACAGGGAACAATCTATTAGCTCATTTCAATAAGCCCAATTTCTACATTAAACTAAAATGATTTGAGGTATCATTTGTCAGTACAACATTTACTCAAAAGTGAGCTGAAAAGTCTATAATCCAAGCTTTCGGCTAAGGTCTGAAATACCAGAAAAATAATACCAATTATAATTTACAAATCGGTACAATGTTAAGTGCTTCCAAAAGAACTCGGTAAAAGTAAATTGCAATTCCCTTATTAAATGTGGATTCCTTTATATATCATATTTACTGGTTACTCAAGTTTTCTTTCAAAAATCCAGACATCCGATAGCAAAGAGATTATTTTAATGTTGAATTTTATTACGGCAGCAAGGTTATTGATTGGGCAATATTGGAGAAAAGACTCCTTGCCTATCTTAGAGGAATGGTTTTTTAAAGTTTCTTATTTATCAGAAATGGCAAAAATATCGGCTTATCTGAAAGACCATTCACAAGAGAGATATAACTGTATGGAAAAGATGGGTAAATTTTGTTCAGAACAAATATGAGATTAGAAAGTATTATTTAGCTTTTGAATAACTTACTGTATAAAATTGTTATGTTTAGATTTGTTGATTTTATTGTAATGGAGTTAAAGATTTTAAAAGCTTTTTAGGATTTAAGTATAATTGTTTGATGTTCATTTAATTTTTTATGTTCTTTTTTTGTTGTTTTTAGCTCTGTATTCAGCTCTGGGAAGGGGGGGAGGGTTAATGGGAGGGGGGAGGGAGAGAGGTGGGGAGGGATTTTATTGTAAAATGTTTATAAAAAATTCAATAAAAAAAAATCCAGACATCCATTAAATCAAGGATGTCAAAATGGCGGCCTGCGGGCTGGATGCATCACGCGCAAGCCACACTTACCCCGGCTCCGCAAAGGCAAAAGGCATCACGATCGAGTTTGACACCCGTGCACTAGATGCTAATAGCTAAAACTGCAATACTATACATGTTTATTACTGAAATGTCCTTTAAATACAAAAGGCAAAGGTGTTAGCTTTGCTTTACATTTCCCATTGTAGATAATATGTAAAGTAGCCTCCAGCACTCATTTCTTGGAGCCATGCTGAATGGTGGTGAAGCCAACCATTCATCATTTATTTCTGCAGTCAGGCTTTTTATGGATTTACTTCTCTTCAAAATGAAAATAAAATGCATTGTTCTGAAGACAAGTTACGGTGTCAAACCACTAACTTTTCCAAACTGATCATCAAAGCAATTGATATACTATTGCTTTTTAAATATTTAATCCCTCTCACCTGTGATAGTTTTAATTGCTTTTTGCCTAGGATACATAACAACAGTTGTGGCTTTATGAGCTCAGTTTTAATTCCCCAATAAAATCTGAAAATGCTTTCACTTGGAGGTGAGGGGTATGAATACTGCCAAGTATTGTCATTACGTTTTTCCTACCCTCTACTACAGTGTTTCCTAAACTTGACAATTTTAAGGCATGAGGACTTCAACTCCCAGAATTCCACAGCCAGCAACGCTGGCTGTGGAATTCTGGGAGTTGAAGTCCACATGCCTTAAAATTGTCAAGTTTGGGAAACACTGCTCTACTATAAACATAATCCAGGTGGTGGTGGAAGTCATGTAAAACCCCAGACATGAGAACAAGACATAATATGTCATCTATATCTCTGCTCTGACATCTTAAAGGAAGGTGGACTAATTACAGGTAGTCCTCAACTTACAACAGTTCATTTAGTGACCGTTCAAGATTACAGCAGCACTGAAAAAAATGACTTATGACCGTTTTTCACACAATCATGGTCACATGATAAAAATTTCCAACATTTGTCCACTGACTCATATGTATGATGGCTACAGTATCCTGGGGTCATGTGACCCACTTTTGTGACCTGAGAAGCAAAGTCAATGGGGAAGCCAGATTCATTTAACAACCGTGTTATTAACTTAATAACTGCAGTAATTCACTTAACGATGCTGGCAAGAAAGGTTGTAAAATAGGGCAAAACTCACTTAACAGCGGCTAGCCGCCGCCCCCGCCGTGACTGCCACCCTGCCCGGCCTGGCCCGGGGAGACACGTGCTGGGCTCGGCTGCCCGGGGACGGCCCAGGGAGCAATGCCCCCACCAGCCCCCACCCCAGCTGGGACTGCCGCCCTGCCCGGCGAGACATGTGCCGGCTCAGCTGCCCAGGGATTGCCCAGGGAGCGATGCTCCCGCCAGCCACCCCCCCAGCCCTGACTGCCATCCGGCCCAGCCCAGGAAAATGCATGGCCAGCTCGGGAGTGATACCCCAGCCGGGACTGCTGCCTGGTACAGGTGAGGGGGCGCCACCTGCCCCACAGCCACTTCACAGGGGCGCTCCGTCTCCAGTGCTGCTTGACCAATGGTCATGCCAGCTGGGCATCGCAGGGGCTGCTCTCCCTCGGGGCTGTGGCTTGTGGGAGGGCTGGCTGGTTCAGCAGAGGCTCTGAGGGGCAGCTCCCAGTGGGGATCCCGGGGCTTCCCTGCACAGCTCCCCAGCCATGTGCAGCTGGGACAGGGCCAGCCCGGGAAAGGAACTTCCTGGCTGCCCTTCTCCCAGGGGGCACGGCACCCGGGCGCAGGGCCAATCAGGAGCCCTGCGAGGGGGCAAGTTCGCAGGAGAGAGGGGAAGTGCAAGTGCCTTTCTCTCTCTCCTTGTCTCTCTCTGCAAATGGCGGAGGCGGCTCCGGAGCCGCATGGGATGGCTCAAAGAGCCGCATGTGGTTCCAGAGCCGCAGGTTGCCGACCCATGCACTAAGGGGTTATGGAGTTCCTTCATACCTTAAGCTGCCATTTTTTTTTACTTGTCAAGTACTATTGCAATGTTTTTGGGAGTAGGAGGGAAACTGCTTTTATTTTATAGATAATCATGCTGCAATGATGACTTCTTTCCTTTCCTCAAGGGCAAGCTATAATTTGGAGTAAAAGGAGACAGGCTTAGATTAAGCTAAATTCTTTCTGTATTTTTGTAATATATATATATATATAAAGGAAAGCAACTGTCCCTTTAAACGGGACTATAACAAACATTCAGAGATGTGGGTTTTCTTCTTACCAAGCAAATATGTGAAAAGTACAGGGAGGCTAATCATAATTCACAGTTAAGTTTCCAACAATTACTATGCATAGATTTTTTTAAAAGTTCCTTTTTTCTTCATGATGACTGCAGTTATGAGTGGAAGCTTGCCACATCAATTTCCTATCTGTCCCAAGAAACTGAGTGCTTTGGCAACCAGTACAATTACCTTTTATCATTTCTTTTTGTTTCTGAGTTAGAAGAATAATCTGAATGTGGAAAAGCACAAAGCAAACGTCGCTTCTTCGGAAACCGTGTTTGCTAAGATAAAGGCAGAAAGCATACAGGAGATAGCATCAGTGCACAGGAATGTTAAAAATGAGAATTTTCTTACAAAAATGAGTTTGTGAGTTTATCACCAAAATGTGTTTGCATGTGACAGCGAGCAAACGTAAAGCCTATATCAGAGACAGCTACAGTGGTAGAAAATAAGATTATAGGTTGTTTAGAAATACGTCTAAAATAATTAGCATGAGGGGGCACGATTTGCACTCTTCTGCCATATAAAAGCAGCCTTAGTTATTCAGCTGTTTAATGATATGGGTGAAGAATATTTGAACATGTTTGGTTAAAACCATCTTGTTATGTTGAAGCATTCCTTGTCACCCCTTTATGGAAAAGTGTAAAAAAAAGTTTTCTTTCTTGGAGTGTACCGTTTAATATTGACATCTGAAGCTTGGGAATAAAGTAAGCCGCAGAAATGTCACGAGCAATGAGAGTTTTGCTATTGTTACAGCCTCTGATGAAAACATTCAGATCACCTATGTGTTGTAGTGGATGCCCTACTGAATAGGGCTAGTTCCATCTGTAAGCTGAAATATGAAACACTTAAGATAGCAGCTTTTCACATTGTAAGTAACTACTCTAATGGCTCATTTACTCACACTCTACAGAAAAAGGTTATTTCCTAGACAATAATGGAAAGACCCTTTCTCTAGTTAAGAGTGCCAAAATTATCCCCCCCACACACACAAACAGAAAATACATTTTAGATACCACAAATGATCTTCATATTTCTTTCCTTGTGAAATTTACTTATTTGAAAGTAAGGCAGCTTATATATTGAAACAACTCGTTGGTAGTCGTTTTATCCAGTTGCTATTATGAAACTAGTGTATCTAATTTATGAGATCGTTACTACACCATGCGATCAATTATATTGGCTATCTGTACCGTTTCATCTTGATTGCAATAGCTTTTTCATGCCTGCATGTGACATTTCTAGTGTATAGGCTTGGATTGTACCAGATTATTTATTGCTATTGGGAGCCACAGCAAGGCAATTCTTATTTTAAAAGTTTCCATGTGATCCTATTTTGATCACCTGCTTTTAACTGGCTTACAAAGTCCAATTTCGTTGTCAAGGTTCTCTGAATGAGAGACAATTCCTCAAGAAACACAGGGTTAGTTTTCAAAGCATCTTTCATCTTTATGAGACAAGCTTTGAGCATGTGGTAGTATAGTCTATTAAGTAACCTTAAGATTGATAACAGGAAAAGTGCGCAGGAAACTAGCTCTCCAGTTAATGTTTAGCGTTGCTTATAGGTTCCTATAAAGCTAAAAGTAATACACAAAAGACAAGTAAGTCTCCTATTTGTACACTATTGTATACATTAGATCAGTGTTCCTCAACCAGTGTTCCTCAACCAGTTTGAAGAAGTACAGACTTCAATTCCCAGAATTCTCTTCAAGCTGCAGAGATTCACATTAATCCAGATCTTTTTTTTTGAATAAAGAAAATATTTTACCCCCTGCCCACACCTTGTGTCATAGTAGAAAATCAGCTTTTTATTTTAAACACTGTTCACTATGCACCAAGTGAAAAGGTAAAGCTAGATAAGTACAAGGCTAATCCAGAATCACCCACCTACCCACACATATTACATCTATTCTATACAATCAAGTGTGCAAACAAAAAAATAAAAAAATCCAAAGTGCATCTAGAAGTCACCTTATTAAAATGGAAAATAGTGAAAGTTTACACGCAGTTGTTAAACAGTAATAAAAATTTCATCAACTGACTATAAGCAGTATTATGACTGACTAGCCAAAATTATTCATTGGAAACTTTTCCAGACATTTGGATTTGAATGTAGTAAAAACTATTGGAACCATCAAGTTGAGGTTTTGAAAAAATGAGTGGGTTAAGATCTTATGGGATTTTAAGATCCAAACACACAGGCATCTTGTTCATAACATGCCTTGTACAGCAGTCATTGAAAGAATGAAAATCTGGTTCACTGATGTTGCTGTACTGGGTGATGCCAGGATGGAAGACTGGAAATAGGAAAAAAAAATATGAAATACCAGGACTTGCAGATCGAAGTTGAATGCTTATGGAAAAAGAAATCTATTGCTGTACAATCGTGATTGGCGCCCTTGTAGCTATAGCTAAAGGAGTCCTTCAATATCTGGAAATTTTGAATTTATTGTACCTGAACATCCTAATTTTACAAAAACAATACAAAATCTGGCTTGGAACTGCATCTGTTCTTAGATACCATTTTAATAATTCTTAGGTCTTTGCTTAGGATTTGAATCATTTTTACCAGTCTTAGTCTGTGAATCTAACTATATATTACTCATAATAATATTAAATTGTTATTGTGCCCAATTCCCAGCAACTCATGCAAATAGCTCTTCCTCTAAGCATGACTGCCAGCTTTCCAATGTTGTGCTATTGCAGCAATTTCAAAAGGCAAATTCTTCCAAATAAGCTAGCCATGTAAACAAGATATAAATGCATTTGCAACAGAGGTGAACGCTTGTATAAGAGATTTAAGAAAGCATCTGCAGATCAGAACTGGTAACTTTGAATGCGTAGCCCACATGCTAATTCAACATTTACTATCTTTCTGAGTGTAATCATTTAAGTCACACGAAGTACAAGCTTTCCCAATTTATTTATAGGTTCCAAAGTATGATTTTATATAATCGCAAAATAAGGGTCCTTTCTGTTTCAAACATCCTTTACTAGTTACAAAAAGCCATTCTGAAGGAATCACTAGATCTGAGAAGATAAAACATTTCAAGAGTATGATCCTAGTAGCCAAACTTTGCGTTAACAAATAAAATCATCCCAGTAAAAATCTTTATAGTAGAAAAAAACATTTTTTAAAAAACCAATAGTTTGTAGTCAAATTCCAGAGTATGCCCAATAATTTCAAACAGCTTGTAGAAGAAAAGTAAACAACAACAACAACACATAATATTCTGTACACTGTGATCATGGGACCTGCTCTTGGAAGATTTCTAGGCAACCAGAAAGCTCTGATTACATAGGTACCTGCACGGCAAAGAAGATACAAATTAGCTTTTGCCATCTGGAGTACAGGATCAGATCCCATTGTTTACAACTACTCATGGAACAGCTGGGGAGACAACATACAGGATTCTTCCATATTAAGACAATGATTAGAATGGACCGGATCAGGTGGAAATATTGAGCTTTAATTTGAAATCTGTACATATAATTCTGTCCCTAAATGAATAAGATTGTACATTGGTTGAAAAGTAATCAGCCAGTTCAGTCAACATGGAATAAGCAAATCAGCGGGAAAACTGTCTGTTGTCAGATTTTTTCTTGTTAATATGCTTGAAGATTTTGGATTTATGAACGTTCTTTGCCTTCTGATAGCCAAAGCCGCCACCTCCACCTCTTTTTTGTAGTCTCTTTCCATGGCTGCTGTTTACATCTGAAGATTGTGTTAAGGAATGTAGGCTCAAAAAAAAAAGCAAAAAAAAAAAAAAAAAAAAGCACTGGATAATAGCTAAGAGTTCAAAAAGCATAGCACCAAAAATGGCATATGCCCTAATTTCCACAATCAATTTGCAGTTCATTCTTAACTATAGACAGACTTGCCTGCTTATTATTGGTTTTAGCTTTTGCGTTGGTTTTCCTACAGACAGCTAGCTCAATTAATCCTCTTTTTTGGTACCACCTCTAAATGTGGAAACAAGCTGTTGATCTCTAGTCTTTCACTTAAGCACAACGTCAGTTTGTTGGCAACACATTTCTAGCTCAAAAGAGGGCAAAAAAAAAAAAAGATAACTGATTCAAGACCTGTTCTGGATTGTGTAAGTGCTGTCTCCTTAAGAGATGGCTTATGGGAAATGTAGTTTTAACTAGTCAGTCATCCCATGTTAATGGGTCAGTGGGAGGAGTTTCTAAAGGGCATTGGGAGACTTCCTGGACACAAGCCAAATTGGCCCATGCTTGTCTAAAGAGAAGCATGGACCATCGGATGTCACCCGATGACCCTGTTCCGCTATAAAGATGGTATGGAGAGAGTATTATCTTCTCACCTATGGGAATGAACAGAAATGTATTTTCCAGAAGAAACAACCAACATAATTGCAAGTAATCTCTCTGAATAAATATATTTTTGTTATGAAATTATTCCTATTGAATTTATCTATCTGACCCGGGTTTACAACACAACTTAATTCTGGGTCAGAATAAGACCAGCTTTCCTTAACTGTAGCACTTTTCAAATACATTGGATCATTGACTGTTAACTTAATCAAAGGTTGTTAGCAGTCTAAGTAGCCCCTTCCCCACAACAGGTACAAAATGGTTAACATGCAAGATCACTACAATAACAGCATTCAAACATCGCAACAAATGATATTATCTTATGATACAAATGAGCAAACATGCATCTAAAGTTTCTTAACTGTGGCAGCTTACTAGTATCTCACTAACTTTTAAAATGATTTATTAACATCAACAATTGCCACCAACCTACTCAAGCAAGCACATTATTGGGTGAGGGGGAAAAATGGGGGGAAGAGAGAGAAAGAGGGAGGAAAAGTAAATAACCTTGTAGTGAAAGGATACTGAGATCTACAAATGGTGGGACCTTGAAGCCAAAGGACGAAGCAACCTTGATCAAATCCAAGTTATTGACATTGTAGATCTGCTTCAAAGAGTGGGAATCATAAGCTCTTATATAGGCTTTGTATGCTTCTTGGGCTGATTTGTGGAGAAAGTAGTTCTTCTCAATCAATTTTTCCAGCTGGAAATTTATAAAGAGGCACACAAAGGTGTACTTTTTTTACTTCATAATCATGAACAATTTATAGGTAGCTGACATTTACCCAGAGAAATATCTGTATATCTGCATTGCCCTGCACCCAAAAATTCATGGTACTGAAACATATCTTGTGGCTTTATGGATATAGAATATGATTTGGTTTTTTGTTATTAGTTCAAATATTAAATTAGCTGCTATACTAAGAGCATAGTTAGGAAAAGATAAATGTTTAACCATAAACTGTTTAACTTCATTTGCATATGAGCAACTTCCAGATAGCTTAGGCTGGAGAAATTCCTGCCTAAAATTCTGGAGAACACTCTTAAGCCATTACTTACTATAGTCACTTGCTTTAAAACATTCTCATATCAATCCTTCCCACTTACTAAAGCAGTCAGTTTATTGCCATAACTTGTCTTCTCCATGGGTAAATAAATGCAACATCCTAGTAGTGGATTTTATTTTATATAATTAGAATTGGCCTTGCTCTAATTTTCTTTGCCATCTACCCCTCCTATCTCACTTGCATTCCAGAGATCTATTCTAAAAAACTTTCTAAAAATCACAAATCCAAATGCTCATACATACAGTGAGGGAAAAAATTATTTGATCCCCTGCTGATTTTGTACGTTTGCCTACTGACAAAATCAGTCTATAATTTTAATGGTAGGTTTATTTTAACAGTGAGAAACAGAACAACAAAATAAAATCCAGAAAAACGCATTTCAAAAAAGTTATAAATTGATTTGCATTTTAATGAGTAAAATAAGTATCTGATCCCTTCGGAAAACATGACTTACTACTTGGTGGCAAACCTCTTGAGGGCAATCAAAGAAGTCAGATGTTTCTTGTAGTTGGCCACCAGATTTGCACACATCTCAGGAGAGATTTTGTCCCACTCCTCTTTGCAAAGCCTCTCCAAGTCATTAGGGTTTTGAGGCTGATATTTGGCAACTCGAACCTTCAGCTCCCTCCACAGATTTTCTACGGGATTAAGGTCTGGAGACTGGTTAGGCCACTCCAGGACTTTAATATGCTTCTTCTTGAGCCACTCCTTTGTTGCCTTGGCCGTGTGTTTTGGGTCATTGCCATGCTGGAATAACCATCCACGACCCATTTTCAATGCCCTGGTTGAGGGAAAGAGGTTCTCATCCAAGATTTGACAATACACGGCCCTGTCCATCGTCCCTTTGATGCAGTGAAGTTGTCCTTAGCAGAAAAATACCCTCAAAGCATAATGTTTTCACCTCCATGTTTGACGGTGGAGATGGTGTTCTTGGGGTCATAGGCAGCATTCCTCCTCCTCCAAACACAGCGAGTTGAGTTGATGCCAAAGAGCTCGATTTTGATCACATCCGACCACAAACTTTCACCCAGTTCTCCTCTGAATCATTCAGATGTTCATTGGCAAACTTTAGACAGGCCTGTACATGTGCTTTCTTGAGCAGGAGGACCCTGCAGTTAGTCCTTCACAGTTTAGTGTATTATCAATTGTTTTCTTCGTGACTATGGCCCCAGATGCCTTGAGATCACTGACAAGGTCCTCCCATGTAGTTCTGGGCAGATTCCTCACTGTTCTCATGATTACTGAAACTCCATGAGGTGAGATCTTGCATGGGGCTCCAGACTGAGGGTGATTGACAGTTACTTTGTGTTTTTTCCATTTGTGAATAATGGCACCATTGTCACGTTCTCACCAAGCTGCTTGGAAATAGTTTTGTAGCCCATTCCAGCCTTGTGTAGGTCTACAATCTTGTCCCTGACCTCCTTGGACAGTTCTTTAGCCTTGGCCATGGTGGAGAGTTTGGAATGATTGACTGCTTCTGTGGACAGGTATCTTTTATACAGGTAACAAGCTGAGATTAGGAGCACTCCGTTTAAGAGAATGCTCTTAATCTCAACTCATTACCTGTATAAAAAACACCTGGGAGCAAAAAATCTTGCTGATTGATAGGGAATCAAATACTTATTTCACTCATTAAAATGCAAATCAATTTATAACTTTTTTGAAGTGCATTTTTCTGGATTTTTGTTGTTGCTGTTATTTTGTCTCTCACTGTTAAAATAAACCTACCATTAAAATTATAGACTGATTGTTTCTTTGTCAGTGGGCAAACGTACAAAATCAGCAGGGGATCAAATACTTGCCCCCCCCTCACTGTAATTCATCTGCACTCTGTTTAAGGTTAAGTTCTTATAACCAGAGTCCATAATCTGGGTACCTTGTGCCAAAGCTAATGTTAGAAAAGCAGTCAAGTCTTAACAAGAAATTTTCTACTGCATCCGATTTAATCAGATGTTTGGATTTTTTACTATCACACCTCATAGGAATATCAAAATAAAACCACTATGAATCTTTTGTTGTTGTTGTTTTGCATCATTGAACTGCTTCTGATTACTTTATGAGCTATACAAATGAAAAAAAAAAATAAGTGAGCTTTTAAAACATTCATAGTATAATTTATATTTACCTGAGATTGAATGTCAGAAATTTTAGACCAAGAAAATTCAAATTCACTTAATGGCACCTAAAAATATAAAGATAGGTTCTCAACAAAAATTCTACAAAATGGAAACACAAGATATTAAGACTATAATACATTTCACCACACCTAAACTTAGGTCGTCTAAACATTGGCTGGATGTACACATATTGCTAAGCTAGAATTTTTTTAACTCCTAATCTGTTGAAAAACTAATGGCTTCCTTCAGGCAGGAAACTAAAGAATAATAATAGGTAATTTTAAAATAAATTACAGTGTTTGGGATTACACTGTATACTTAGCTACAATATGGCTTGTGGTCTGTGCAATTACATGTGTGAACCCAATCACTGTGATTTATAGGTTCATATGTGAAGTATTAGACATTTGCAAAAAATAAATAAATTAAATACTTTGCTTTAATGCAAAGTGTGAACCCAAACTGGATCAATTTTGTGCTGGTACAAACCAGATCAATCCACCTGCAATCCTATGCTTCATTCTCCCATCCTAGCCAATTTGGAGTATCATAAAGAAATTATATAGCGAATGTTTTATAAGATTGACTGATTTGTACAAGAAAATGTTTCAGGCAAAAAAATCAGTTTTAAACATCCACTAAGGGCAGCTATTTTAGCAACCACGGCCATTTTAGATTGTATATATATCCATCACTGGACAATTATGCCAATGTCTTCCAAGACCAGCATGTCATGTCCAAATTTTAATGTCCTTGCAAACTGTCTTAGAATGGGAAAACAAGTTTACATGAATTGTCTGAACGTCGTTTTCAACAAGTGAAGCACTAGTGTAATTTCTCTCCCCAGTACTGTTGTCCCATTTAGGGTACTGAAAAGAGGGAGTTTTTTTGTTTTTAAAAAAGACAGCAGATGGCCATTTTGGCATTATAGCTAGCTAGTCCTCTTTGTCCTAGGTCAGGGGTAGGCAACTTTGGCTCTTTTATGACTCGTGGACTTCAACTCCCAGAATTCCTGAGCCAAAGTTGCCTACCCCTGTCCTAGGTACTAGCAACCATACGAAACCTGAATTCACAACCACAGCATCCAATTAGTACAAGGTAAGGTAGTTTGGATTAACACTGCTCCATTCTTTTATATTCCACATTACACAGTTCTGCTATGCCAGCTGCTCTGCATTTCTAGTAAAGTTATAACATTAAGTATTAAGAGAGTGATAGTAATGAAAAAAAAATGACTGATCACTACTGCTACCAGCAATGGTGGTACAATTCTACAGTACTCCATAGCAACTAACCCTGGCTTGCTTGAGGTAACGCAGGAATCCCAGTTCTTCTGGCCGTAAAATGAGCAGGGCATGTCCCCTTCCATCGATTCCACGGGCTGTTCTCCCAACACGATGAATATATTCCTTTCATTAATGGGAAGTAATAGAAGATAAACTAACACTTGGGTTTCATGTTGATAATAAGCATGAAAGCATAGCATGTAAGTCCCCTATTCTTAATTGATGTACTTTACAAATTGCATACTAATAAAGCAAACAGTCTGGAGGTTTTAAATCAGCAGACACTTTTTGAATGTATTTATTTTTGATTGGCAGCATTTGAATCAACAATAGCTAAATAGCACCCCAGAGCCTGTCACTAATGTGAGTTCAAAGCCAACGCCACTTAGCCACATAGGCAGAGTTCAAAACCTGTTTTCTCTTTTCAGGCACCCAACTGCAATGGCTCAACTCTTGGACTGACATTGAAGCCATTTACAATGCTAAAACAATGTGTCCAAGATACAAATGGGGAAAGTAATAAAATAAATAAATAAGTAAAAATAGAAAGCTGTGAAATTCAGCTTTGCTGGAGTCAATTAAGAATAAACTATCCCAGACTACTCTAATTTCAGATGTTTAAGATTACGCCTACAATTCACATTAATGCATATTTAAACGATATTAATTTTCAAGAATATGTAATACCTTTGGATCATCAGGTGGATCATACTGAACTATCCAATCAACCTCTGGAATGTCCAGCCCACGAGCAGCTACATCTGTGCATAACAGTATTCCAGAATCCGCATTGCAGAACTGGAAAAATGTGGTTGTGCGTTTAGTTTGTTTCTGCTTGCCCTAGGAAAAAAAGACATACAAGATAAGGAACTGGTGAGCAACTGGAAAAAAAAAAACTAAAATTGCCATTACAACCAATGGCAACGGAAAAAGTTGCTATTGAGATGTATTGGTTGTTTAAGATGATATCTCCAACTCCCATCTTTCTGTTGTAGTAGTTTTGTGCTTTGGTTTGTTTTAAAGCAGGAGGGGGAAAATCAACCCAAAATGTCTAAGTTCTTGTCTGAGAAAAGGGCAAAGCCACATTTTTACATACCTCTAGGGTACATTGGCAGTCTCTCTTTTGCCATATTCCCAATTCCTTACAGAGGCAATAATACTGAGATTTCCATAAAAATGGCTTAGAGCATAATCCATTTATGAAAATGTACAAACAAAAATCTAATTTTTCTTTTTATGTTACTACATATAGAATCAATGGATGTTTCAGTTCTTCTACACACTGTACAATAGAAGAAAATGTCATATACCAACTGGAGCCACTTAAAATAGTTTGCTGACAGCAAACACTGTTCTAACAAACAACTTCAACCTTGCTGACAGAACCCTGTTTTTCAGATAAGCAGTTTAAAGACAGCTTTAAGAGAAAGATGCTCCAGATGGCATTTAAAGGTTAATTTATGACTCCGCTGCTGAAATCTTGCTGAGAATCTGACACTGTTGTCATGCACCCAACCTTCATAAAGGCCACTTGCTATTTGCAATAACCTCAAAGCAGCCTGCATTATTCAAGCTTGAAAGACAGTTTGAGACTCCGAACTAAGGCACAAAAGTGGATCTTCATTGCAACAGAGAGCAGAAGAAAAGCCTCTGGATTTACAATGCCCTAGAACTCCCATAAATCTAAGAACAGAAATCAGTTAACACTGGCACTTAGCTGGTCAAAAATAAAATTAGCAAATTAGTTGACCAAAGAGGGTTAAAGTGCTTACAAAGTTACTACAATGAAAGGGCTGGAGGTCAGAAAGGTTTCCTGGAGAAGAAACAGCCCCTTCCATCAGAAGATGGGGCTTTTGATTCAAAGAAGGAGATTTATTTCAGTCACCTTCCTCAGCTATGCAATACCCTGAAAATCTGTTCTGGAAATGGGGAAAAACAGCACCAAGTATCATATAAGAAACTAGCAAATAAAAGGTATTCTGGTGGTGTTAAAAACTCTGAATCCAACCCAACCCAACCCAAGACAGCATTTTAGAACCGAGAAGATCTAGATTATAATCCAGAAACTGGATTACTGTAATATACAGAAGTGTGCAAAAGTCTTAAGCCACCATTAGATTTGTTGTTTTACTGACCACATCTGTAATTATTTTTCGGTGTTGACAACTACATCTTGAGTATCCAGTTTGTTTGTTGATTTCCCTTTGAGAGTGACCTTGTTGATGCCAAAGTAAGATCGTATGTCTGTCAAATTCTGTGATCTCTGACATTTTGACTGGAATAATGTGATTGAAAGTTGGTCTTATTAGCAAGCTTCCAACGAATTACACTCATACGACATGTGCATGTAGTGTATGCAATGCTCAAGCAGATCTTGCACAAAACTGGTGTAATTTTTTTTCTGCACAGCAGTCATTTTGGCGTGAAACAATAGGATACACAAGTTGTTAACAATGACAGTACCTAGGGTTCCCCATTTCCGTTTATGGGAGCCAGGCGTCTGCAATTATTCAAATGTAAGAGGAAGTCACATTATATACTTGCCATTTTGGCCTACGGACACTTTTTTGTTTTGTTTTGTTTTTCCTGTTTTTTAATACTGCATACAAATTTCCTGTATTTTTTGGTTGTATTCCAATAAGCAGACTGAGATATTATATATATATCAGTGATGGCGAAACTTTTAGAAACCGAGTGCCCAAACTGCAAGCCAAAACCCACATTTATCGCTGGGTGCCAGGTGGGCGTGGCTGCAGTGGTCATGGCAGACAGAGTGCGTGTGGCCAAGGTGGGCATGGTCACCTCGAAGTTGCTCATGGGGAGGGACGCCTGTGGGGACTGGGCAGGGTTGGGGGAGATCCAGGGGGTCTCTGGCAGGTGAGATGGTGGGCAGGAGATAAGGTGAGGCAGGGCAGGGGGTGCCACTGTTGCAGGGCAAAGTGAGGCAGGGGCCGGGGCGGCCGCTGCCTGACAACATCGTCCCCCGCACATAGAGGCCAGCGAGCGCACAGAGGCTGACAGTGTCCATCAGCAGCCACAGCCTGCCGGCCCCTCGACCGGCCCCTCGACCGGCCCCTCGACCGGCGCACTCTGGGGCTCCACAGCCCACCGCCAGGAGTTCAGAGAAGCTGCGTCTGAGCTGGACGGACAGCCGACAGCTGAGGAGGTGATGCTGTGGGTCGTGCCCAGGAAAAGGAGAGCATGCAAGGCCAGGAGGGATGGGACGGAGGGGAGGGAAACCAGTCGTGCTGGGATGCATCTGGCCATGTTGGACCTCAGCGGGTTAGTAGGCAGCTGGTTGAAGAGAGACATCTCTGGGGCATGGCACGTGTGCCCATAGAGAGGGCTCTGAGTGCCACCTCTGGCACGTGTGCCATAGGTTCGCCACCACTGATATATATGGTCATTATGCATTTGCTACAACAACAAATCTAATGGTGGCCTACGACATTTGCACAGTACTGTAGGTATAAGTACAACAATTCATTTCATCACGAATACTTACGTGAATAGCCAATACAGGCAGATCAATGTAGTTAAGAAGTTCGTAGTGGTATTTCACAGACATACATGAAGAGAAGAACACCATCAACTTCTTCTTTCGATTCTTCTTCAGGAAAGTGAACAGCAGGAGGAACCTCTTTTCTGAAGGGCATATCACATATCCCTGTAATTGATTGAAAAACAAAGGGTTTTTTTTTAAAATGACTTCCCAAACGTCTATTTCTAGTGACTTCAAAATGAAGATGCGCGTGTACATTTTAATTTAACTACCTGTACAGCAGACAACAATTTATTGATGAAAGAATGTGAAAATCCAGAAAGGTCGGTATAGTCAGCAATTATCAATCAAGCCTGATAAAGAATTCATGAACATTTTGAAAGAGAAATTAATAGCACGTGAAGAGCTAGAGTTAGAAATACAGGGGGAAAAACATCCTTGCGCTTCGGTACATATGTCAAAATGGGAGAGAAACGGCCAAGGAAGAGAAGCCCAAAGAAAGAAGAGAACTAAATGTTAAGAGTAGACGTATAAGTGAAATATTGTTTGCCAAGATATCTGTGCTTAAATTACCTGTTCAAGACCTTCTACAGTTGCGGTCTCTTTATTGTCATCAACCCCAACATATAATGGCTCCTTTTTTAGAGAAATCCTTGCCAGATCTTCAACTTTACGGGTTTGTGTAGCAGAGAATAACATGGTTTGCCTACGTTCTGGCAGGGAAAGGAGTGAAATTAAAAACACGTTGGTTTTTTTCCAAACATTGACAAGGTAACAAATTAGAAATATCCAGCTGATCCACGCCACCTAGAATCCATTTTTTTAAAATTAGTACCTCGCAAGCTTTTACAATTAAAAAATTGAACTAATCCTAATCAAATTTAGAATAAAAACAAAATGGCAGTGTTATACATACATATATAGCCACTCATCCAAATCACTATAAATGTGTTTTTTCGAGCCATCCTAAAAAGTTTTTTCAAGCCATCCCAAATTTGGATCATCCTAAGTTTTTTTAAGCTATCCTAAATTTTACTTGGGAGTAATGTCCACTGAACAGAGAAGGATTTTCTTTAGCAAATATGCATAATAAATATGCATAAAAGATATTAATCACCAAACAGTCAAGATCTACGTAGATTGTAGAGTGTTTAAAGTGAATTCTAGGCATTAGTACAGCAGACACAAGAATAGGATATACAAAAGTTGAAATAGCTCAGGACTACTGCATAAATTTTTTTAAGTATCAAGAAATACAGATAGTATAAATATCTGACTTACTTGGTAGAAGCTTTATGATCTGTTTCATTTCTTCTTCAAACCCAACTTCTAGAATTCTATCAGCTTCATCAATTACCAGACACTGCAGGTTCTTATACATAAATCCTGGAGTATTCTAAAACACATCCAACAATGTTGTCAACTACACACAGGGACAAAAGAGAGAACATGAATTATGCAATACTAACTGTTTTACCTGCAGATGGTCCAGAAGCCTGCCTGGAGTTGCAACAATGATGTTTATGCCATTACCAAGTTTTTGTACCTCGACTGATCTATTACTGCCCCCCATTATCAAGCCGTAGGTATGGACATGATGAGTCATCAGTTCTTTGATAACACCGTAAGTCTGCATGGCAAGTTCTCGAGTCGGTGAAAGTATGAGGACACCCGTTCCTAAAAAGGAGATGGGAAACAAGAGATGTCTAGAGAGTTTCTAACAGATAAAGGCAAACCTATCTGTTTGCCTATCATCTACTGCAATCTAAACAATGCAATCTATTAAAGCAAGAAAATATGGTACAATCTTGGTTTCAGTATAATCAATTGTTGGTTAGATGGAAGTTAGATCAGAAGGTTGGTATTACTTTAATGGATGAGAATTTGGTAAAACAGATTAAAGATCAAAATCAAACGCATATAAAGAGAATTTATAATGTTTTAATAGAAATGGATTCGGAAACGGAATTAGTTAAAGATTGTATGCTAAAGTGGGCTCAAAATATTCAAGAACCGATTCTATTGGATACATGGGAGGTAATTTGGGTTAGAAATGTAAAATTTACCAAGGCACAAAATTTAAGAGAAAATTTTTATAAAATGTTTTATAGATGGCATCTGGATCCTAAAAAGTTGTCTTGTATGTATCCTAATTTACAGCCCAAATGTAGGAGATGTGGTAATTTGGAAGCCACTTATTTTCATATATGGTGGACTTGTGGAAATATAAAAGCCTTTTGGATTAAGATCTGGTGGAACATTCAACAGATTTTTAAGAGAAAGATAAAGTTTACCCCACAATTATTTTTATTGGGTGTTATTACAGATTGTGATGTTAAAGAAATTAATTTGATGTTGAATTTGATAACAGCTGCAAGATTATTAGTAGGGCAATATTGGAAGAAGGATTGCTTGCCTACAATAGAAGAATGGATGATTAAAGTGTCAAATTTAGCAGAAATGGCTAAGATTTGTGCTTATTTGAAGGATCATTCACAAGAAAGATACATTTTGGTCTGGAGAAGATGGATAAATTATATTCAGAATAAATATGGGACTAAAAAGTTTCATTTAGCCTACAAGTGAATTTTAGAGTATTATTATGAAATTATTATTATTTTTAATATTAGTATTGTTTAACTATTTTGGGACTGTATTGTTTAATAATTAGGATATTAATTTGTTTATGTTCTCATTATTATTATGTTCACTTTTAACTTGCTTATATTTATGTTAAAGGGGAGTTAAAGTGCATTATGGATTTGGTTATTTATATAGTTGGCAATATTAGTTAGATTATGATTAACATATTTGTAACCCTGTATTCAACTCTGGGAAGTGGGGGAGGGAGGGGGAGGGTTTGGGTGGGTTAATATTGTAACTTTTATAAAACTTTTTAATAATAAAAACAATGCAATCTAAACAATCTAAACTCTTGGCAGGCTATAGCCACGGCAAAAAAAATAAAACACAAAGAATACAGGGAGACCTTGATTTACAACAGTTCATTTGATGACAGTTCGAAGTTACAACGACACTGAAAAAAGTGACCTACAACCATTTTTCACATTTAGGACCACTGCAGCACCCCCCCCATGGTCATGTGATTTACATTTGGATGCTTGACAACTAATTCATATTTATGACAGTTATAGTATCCCAGGGTCATGTGATCCCTTTTTGCAACCTTCTGACAAGCAAAGACAATAGAGAAGCCAGATTCACTTTTAACAACTATGTTACTAATTTAACAACTGCAGTGATTCACTTATCAAATGTGTGGCAAGAAATGTTGTAAAATGGGGCAAAACTCACTTAACAAACTTCTCACTTAACAACATACATTTTTGGCTCAGTTGTGGTCGCAAGTGGGGGACCACCTGTAATACAAAATCAAAATACTTAAAAAAACCTGCTAATAACAGATGACGCCACACACCAAATGCCCTTCAAGAGAGCCCCATTATCAACTTCTTCTGGAAAGCGTACAGCGTTGGAGCCAATTGAACCTCCAATGGGAAGCCACTCCAGAAGGCTAGATCTGCTATAGAAAATCAACTCTCCTGGGATTCAGCCAAGCTAATTGGTCAGAGTGGCCAAGTGGTAATTCTACAAGACAGCACTTTACTCAAGGAGAATTAGAGAGATAGGCTGCTGGGTGATAACTTGCTGACACAATAAGAGAGAATTACATATGCTTTGCCTCTCATATTGCCACAGAGTTGGCCCAAACCTGGGTACATTAGCTGTGCTTAGTCAGATTAAGTCTTCATTGCCCTCCAGTTGTATTCCAGGCATTGCTTCTGCCACTTCATCTTCCAGAGGTCCTCTGTAAACCAAGGGATCACCCAGACTGCCCAATAGTCAGGAGCCATTTTGTTGGGGGCCTGAGACACTGCTTCTTGCCAGTGATAGATCAAACTCTCAACTCAACCTCTACTCATGTCAGGGAAACTGCCAAACATCTAGGAAAATCATTTGGATCCATAAGGTGCATAAGGTGGACCAATGAATGAGTCAAGCTCTGCAAAGGGAGCAGGTGGCAGTCAACTGCATCTGGATCAGGAAGTGAACCATGACATATAAAAGTACACTAATACTGTATTCTCAACATCCTGATTGCTAACTGCCCAGAGATTAAAAACAAGCTTTAACATGGGCCTACGTACAAATTTGGAGCTCAGATTTCCTGGGACCATCAAATTCATGGCTGCTGCCATGGAGGCTTATAAACTCTAGAAAGTGGGTCTCAACCTTTCTAATGCCGCGACCCCATAATACAGTTCCCCATGTTGTGGTGACCCCCAACCACTTATACATCACCGGGTGCCAGGGGCATGGCCAAAGAAAAGGGGAAAAAAATGGCAGACAGCCTTGTTTGGCGACCCCCGTGAAATGGTCGTTCGACCCCAGATGGGGTCCCGGCCCACAGGTTGAGAACCACTGCTCTAGAACCACCCTTTTCCAAAACCACCAGGTAACGAGTAAGATGATCAAGCTGGTGTCTAGAGAGCCCACGGAAGGGTCTCATTCAGCAAAGATGGCTGATACACCAAAAGGACCCCAACTTGTAACTGTAGCTCAAGCTAACACATAGGAACCCATGCTCTACCACCTCAGGAACAGTGATAATAGATCAATACCACTTCCCTCAGCAGGTTTTGAAGAGGGCAACATCCCTGTCCTCACTCAGTCAAAATAAGTAATACACATCAGGTCTCCCTGCTCATTTGAGACAACCAGATCCTACCAAGATGGGACGACCAAATTAGAAAAGGCAATCGCCATCAAATTAGAGACCTCTTTCCCCCTGGAAATGACTACTTGGCCCTTCTACACCACATTTATCTTCAAGATTTCAAATGATATTTCAAGAAAAAAAATCTCACCATTTCTAGGCATAAATTTTAACTTGTAGATAAGTTCTATGGCTGGAATGAGAAATGCAAGAGTCTTGCCACTGCCAGTTTTTGCAGCCGCTAAAATATCTCTGCATGTAGAACAATTACAGAAAAGAAAAGAGAAAAAAAGGAATGCATGAGTGGTTTGGAAGTTAACATTTTTCATTAAAAACAAGTAGCATCATTAATATGAATTTAAAATTAATACTTGATAAATAATAAGGCTGATTAACTGAATACTATAGCTCCAAGACAACAATTTTAATCATCACTCACTGTTTCCTGCCTGTCAATCATCTCTGACAGAAATTTGCATTTCTTTTGCTGTTCCCTTAAAAAATGTCATTTCTTACCTGCCTTCCAAAAGCGGTTTAATACTTTTATGCTGAATTTCTGTCATGTGTGTAAATCCCATGTCTGCTATCCCTTTCAATGTGTTCTCACTGACCAGGTCACTAAGAGACTCAAAGGAAGTGTCCTCAAAAGCACCTGAAGAGACAAGCAATGTCAGCCTTGTTTAACTGCTCCTAACCAATTGCTATAGATCAAAAGGAAGTCCATTGTATTAAAATAGAACAGAGTTTAAGTATGCCCAGTTTAAAACAACTGAGGGCCAGTTTGGTGTAGTGGTTAAGACATCAGACTAGAAACCAGGAAACCATGAGTTCTGTTCCCGCCTTAACCATAAAAGAACATCCATCTGAGTGACTTTGGGCCAGTCACTCACTCTCTTTCAGTTCTATCCACCTCAAAGGATTGTTGTTGTAGGGAAAAATAGGAGCAGAAAGGTGTGTTTGATGTTTGCCATTTGGGTTATTTGTAAATAAACTTAAAAAATTAACAAATAAATAAATAAATGTCAAACAGGAAGATAAACATGGAAGGAAATATTAGGTCGTCAAACCATTTAAGGCTAAGCCAAATTTAGCCACTCTATTTTGGAAAATTTGCATAGGAATGGGTGTTTTTAGTACAAGTTTTATCTTACTCACAAAGCCAGTGAATTAATCATTAAAATAAATAAATATTTAACCAAGGCCAAAGGCCTGACCACTAAATTCAATAAAAATAAAGAGATTCCAGGTTCAGTATCCTGCGTCTCATTCCTATATATTTCTAAATCCCATTGTGTTTGATAAGACTTATTCCACGCATTTAGGATTTAATGAGGATATGTTGACATATAAAATCTCATTATCTGAGAAACAGAATTGAGAAAACCTGCCTGTTAAACCCAGAGGTAAGACAGGTCCATCAGCATCATGAGAAGCTTCTTCTTCAGTCAGACCATCAACATTTTCTTCTTCGAGATTCCCAGGTAAAGCCTCTTGTGTTTCAACCTCTTCTTCGTCAATTTTTGCTTTTTTACCACCTGCATGCCACAAAACCAATTTTCATTATCAATAATTATCTGAAGATGAACCAGTGATTTCTCACTGAAAGTCAAAGCCTCTCAAAATGTAGATTTTTAATTTTTTTTATAGACCTAAAGTTATGTTTCCTTATACTACTGCCATATACCCCTCTAAGTGGCCATGAAATAAACAAGTAAATACTGCACAATATAAAGCCTTCATTCTGGAAGCAGAAGAGAATGGAATTGAAAACCAAGGAGATTATAACAGCAATTTCAAATGGACTTAAGTTTTGTGTGGTTGAATCCGATCCAATCAAATGTCTACTGTATGAAACCTTCACTAGCTAGAAATGCATGGACAAGAAAGATGAGATACTTCCACATAAGCTGAGAGATTCAATTTTATTTAGGAAAGCTAATATAGCCATTCTTCATGAATTATCTACTTCAATCTATTGTAGAGCTGAGGGTATACTCAGCACAGCACTTGTTTCATTATTACTGAATCTCAGCATGCATTGTTACTGGAGAAGAGCTCTAATGGATATGCCTATGTAGTCCAGTGTTTTGTGACCTACATTGGCAACTAGATATTGATATGCATGGAATGAAAGAAATAATCCCTTTCTACTATCACATCCTAGCAATGAATATTTAAGGGATGCTATTCATGATTCAGCAAGCATCAGTATTAGCATCCATTAATAGAATGATACTCCATAAATCTACTTGTCTTTTAAAACCAATCTAATGGGTTGCCATTACAATTGCTGGCAGCAAATTACATTATACGTATGTACGATCTAAGAAAAGTCTTTCCTTCTGCTGGTCTTAAATTTCCCTGCTTTTAGTTACAATGGATAACATTGGACATTACTCCAGTATCATCAGAAAAGTTACCTATGCCATGAATGATTATATATACCTATGTCTTCCCTTATCTTCTAAGCCAGGGATATCAAACTACCAGTCTGCAGGTCGGTTGCATCATGCGGAGGCCATGCCCACCCCAGCTCCGGCAATGGGGAAAAAGTCACGATACGTCACGTCACGAGTTTGACACCTGGGTTCTAAGCTAAAGAGCATCAATTGATGTAGCTTTTGTGTTTGGTACGATTGTGTGTTTGTATTATAATTTTAAAATAAAATTCATTAATAAAAGGAATACTGCAATACTGCCATGGGGAGAAAAAGAACCAAGGAAATAAAATAACACTCATTTAAAAAGAAGTAACAATAAGAGCTATCATACCATTTTCTGCACAATTTTCAATTTGCCTTTTCTTTTTCTTCTTCTTCTTCATCCCAGGTTGCTTACACTCAGGTTCCTCAGCTTTTATTACATTAGGCAATTCCCCATCTGTCATTTTGTGGTCTTCCATTGCTGTTTCTAAAATGTTGGAAACTTCTTCTGAGACATTCTCCATTGCATTTTCTAATGGCATAAACAAAAAGGTCAATTGCTGCTGCACTTAAGTGCCAAAAATGTTTCTGAAAATCTCATTCAGGCCACAAGGACAAATGAATATACCACACAGTTTATTTAAGAATATCAATTAAGCCCCTGCATTCTACTGTACTTGCTAAAGCATTGACTGAATTAAATATTATTACTACTTTACTGTTTGCGCCACTAGAAAAGATCATAACTAATGCCTTGTTGGATTACACCCTTGGCTCATCTGATCCAGCAGACTGTTCTCACAGTGGCCAGTCAAGCTGGTAGCCAGCATTACATTTCATGGTAGTAAATTCTTAGGCTGAGTAATATACATGCAAAAATATACCCTTTGTTGGTCCCGATTCTTTTAGGATTCCATTTCATTGGGTGATCTCTGGTTTTAATATTTTGGGAAGAGGAAAATGGCTTCTCTCTGTCCACTTTACTCACATCATGCATAATTTTGTACACTTCAATCATTCACCTCTTGTGTAGACTAAAAAGCCTTAATGTTGCAACCTTTCTTCACAAGGAAGCTGCTCCAGCTCCTTAACAGTTTCAACGCAATGCAAATGTAGGAGATGAACAGGCTGATCCCAAGGATGGGGCAAATGTGTCATCAGTTTGAAGACACTGCACTCCTTATACAAGCCCCAAGTCCAGCCCCTCCAGAATTCCACAGACCCTTTATCTAGCGCCAATTTGGCTTGACCCTCAGTACATCAGATTCTTGTGCACAGATGGCATATAATAAACTTTTAGTAATTTGAACTCAACTCAACCAGTTTCTGGTTACTTGCACCTGACATCCAAACTCCTTCATCCGTTAGCCTGGCCTTCCTTTCCGAAGTAAAATTATTATCCAGGAGGTTTTTTTTTTATTTCATGCAGCATACCATCCCTTCACCCCATCTGGACAACTTCTTTGCAAATGATTGATAGGGTGGTGCACGTGCACCACTATGATTTTGTGTCAAACGTTGTTCAGAAGCACACTCAACTCAGACTGGACATTATAACCGACCCTAGCCTTTCTGGCAAAGAGGCATCGACTCTGCCCTGAAACCATGCAACTTCAATCTTGCCACCGCCTCCCCCGACATCCGGGGGGTGGGGTACCGGGACTAAAAGGTACTCGGATAGATAGAGAGAGGTGATGATGATGATGATGATGATACCCTTACCAAGCGTTTCTCCCACAGGCGATGGCCCCGCGGTCAGGCTTTGGTCGGCGGTTCCTTGCCGGGCCAAATTGCGCTGGCGGATCTTGCGGTTGCGCTTTTCCAGCTTCTTGCGCAGAAGCCGCATCGGAAGCTTCCCGGTATTCGCCGCCATCCTTCCGCAACAGACAAGACCGGAGAGCCGGGCGACGCAACACACGTGCGCCAGAAGGATGGAAGAAAGGAAGGGGGAAAAAAAAGAGGACGTAACCGGAAACGAGAACCGGAGATGTTCCGACGCGGCGTCAGACCTTTTGGTCCTCACGACCAAAGGCCCCCTTGCAGCGACTTCTAGAGGCTTGGAGGTATAGTTGATCCTCCAACTTTGCTCGAATTAAAGAGGGAAACCAAGTGCAGTTCTTGCAATGTACACGTATTTCTAAACAAATATTTCGGAAGGTGCGATCTTTAAACCAAGTACAAAATATAAATACGATGCAAAATACTGTCGGTTTGTTAGGGGCGTTTGTGTACGAATCTCCATCTAAGATGTCTGTCTGTCTGTCTGTGGAAATATGTACGGAGCCCAAGTGAGGTTGGGCAAAGAAACTTCTCTGTAAACAAAGATGCATCTATAGTTCTCTTTTGTTTAATTTCTAGAATAAATATTTCAAAAGTTGAAGTTAAACCAAAGGATTTCCATTAGATCACCAATGGGCCCATTGTATTTTGCATTAGACTTACATTTTGTACTTGATTTAAAGATCGCACCTTCCGAAATATTTGTTTAGATTATGAACCTTGCAAGACATGCACTTGATTTCCCTGTTTAATTCGAGCAAGGTTGGAGGATTAATCATACCTTAGGCTGGTTTTTTTGCCTCTTCTAATTATGTTTCTACTACTTCTCTTTTTGTTTTATATGTACTTTCCTCAGTTCTACAGATCCAATTTTCTGTCTCTAAACTTCCTACTAGCTGTTGACCCTTGTAAATTAATGTGGAGGAATTAGTCCCTTTACCAGAGGGATTAATTTTCTTTTTAATTTATTTTTTGCTTGCCTAATTTTTAATTATTATTTTTATACTTTATTTTATTTTAATTTTTGTCAAACGATGGACTCGTGTTTATCCCAAGAATGTTTATGGTCAGTTACTGATGATTGACCTATTACCTATGCAGTAAGTTAGTTCCAAGCTTCTACTACTTTCTAACAATACTTTTGAACTCTCCTCCTGTCACTTTGAAGTTATGCCCTGGTGTTCTTGATTCTTGTCTATTATTGAAAATACTGCCTTCTAGAACCTTATTCACACCCTTATTATATTTAAGGGTTTCAGTCATGTCCCCCTTTTCCCTCCTATCTTCCAGGCTCTACATATTCAATTCTTCCACTCTTTCCTGATATGTTTTGTCCCTCAGACTTTGCATCATTTTTGTTGCTCATCTCTGGATTCGCTCAATCTTAACCAATATTTTTTTTAAGTGAGGTCTCCAGAAGTGAAGACCGTTTTCTAAATGGGCTCTGACTAAAGTCCTATAGAGCAGGATTAGGGCCCCTTTTTCTTGCTGATGATCCCTCTAGTGATGGATCCCAGAATTTTGTTTGCCTTCACAGCTGCCTGGCCACACTGCTCATTTTGCAGTCATCTGCTTAAGTGCACACTAAATCCTTTTCTTCTGTTGTTCTGTTGTCCTTCTCATTGGATAGGCAGATTTAATTCTGGCAAGGCAGTGCCTAATGGAGCAAGGTGCTCTGCTCTGTGAGCAGATGGGCTTGATTTCAAAAAGCTGTCCTTTTTAGATTGATTTAATTTAATTATTTACTTTCTTGGTTTTGTTCTTGAATCTTCCTTTGTAAGCAAAGATATAAACATAAGCCATTACATTTTTTTAATCATTATGAACAGATTTTCCCCCTTTCAGGTCTTTCTTTTATTTTTTTTGCCAAGAAAATATGATTATAGTATCTATTCATATTTGTGGGTCATCTCCAACACTTTGAACTGGGCCTGGAAGCCTTCTATAAGCAATTACAATGGCAACAAATAATAGTATTTTCATGGTCATGTCTGTTTATTGGCTGAAACAGATTTTAAATCTGGCCAGGTAACTTGATTATTTTTACTTTGCTTTCATGTTTTCCACGGATGTTCTTCTGCACTTTTATTTGGGATTTAATGATTATCAAGGTTTGGCCTGATGCTTGAGGAAAAAAAGATGCCAGTCTCTTTTTTTCCTTTGTCTCACTAATCCCTGGAAAGATTTATAGCACTATGTGCCTCACTGAAAGTATTGATAAACTATTTGTTTTGTTGTTTGTTCTCCTGATGAGCACAGTGTGAATTTCCTGGGGCTCTCAAAGGCAGAACATTTAATTGAATTCCTGGAAGCTTACTTGACCAGTTTCTCAAATCCAGGCAACTGAATTTTCCAGCAGCTCTTATATTTCAGCAGTGGACAAAATCAGCTTGCTTTATTTCAGCCCCCTTGCAAAGCACCAGCCCTACTGATTTACTAGCAAATATATCCAAGTCTTTGTTTGGACAGTAGATGGTGCAAGCAAAACAATTTCATTTTCCACAATACGGTAGCAATGAAATTGGTATAATGTTTGATGACCCTTTATGATTAGGATCTTCATATAAGTACATTTTTCTGCCACAAGTGGATTTAATATGTGTATTTTGTTTTTCTCCACTATTGCTTTTGGCAGACCACTTATACAATGATTAGAAACAAATTCATATCTGAAATCTGATTTGTATTTGAATGAGTTTGACTTTAGGAGATGACTTTTAGAAACAATCACATTGAACGTTTCCTCTTGGACAAACTTTAGAAAAGTCTGGAATGACATGGATGTGTATGGACTCACCCTATTACAGTTTTGTAAAGGGAGCCTCGGGAATGCATTTCAAGTTGTCACTGAAGCTAAAAAGCCTCTAATTGCAGTGGTGAATTCTTCATGTAGGCTTCATTCTATCTGGCTTAGAGAGACATTTCGAGCACCACTCTCCCAATTTGTTATTCTAAATCTTGACAGTTTGCTGAAGCATCCTTTCCCCGAGGAGCACAGGGGGATGTCAACTAATTTAACTTTGCTTGTCTTCTAGCTTTGACTCACTCTATTTTTGGAGGGGTTTGTAAGCCCATCAGTCAATCTGGATAGCTTGAAGTAATGGATCTTCCATAGTGCCTGACCCCTAAAATGATTCTTCAAAACATGTGCAAAACCTCATGCAAATCTACCCACTTGAATTCATCTCATATTGTAGAACCTGGGCTGCCAAAACCAGTTTGAAAGGGCTCTAAGCAAGATTGTTATAGTGAGGGCATTTCCATACTGCCCTCTTTCACTCTGAAAGCCACTAAGCTGTGGTCATCAACAAATCTGTCCCATCTTCAAAGGCTAAAAACAAGAAGCAAGCAACTTTTATCAGACCTTGCAATAACAAAAATCTCCAAACGTTTGGATATAATAAAATAAAACAGGTCGCTTCTGCACTGTCGTCCCACATCTACTCCTTGTCGCAAATCAGATCATTTGACATAAGATTTGATTTAGATTGGGTGGGTACTTCCAGATGAATGGGTCTTATTACTACAGATCAAAAGATAGCATGTAACTTTTCCATCTTTACTTAACAGATTTTCAGTAGAAAGAAAAATGACCAGAGAAGAAGCTGGAATACCTGAGGGAGTTAAAGTGAAAGCAGACATGGTTGGGGACCCTCACCCAGGCCTCCAAAAATGAAGAAGTCTTTTGAGAAGGATCAATTGATTTTGCTTAGAAATATTGAGGTAGACTCTCCCTTTTTTTAGCCAACCTGACCGAGAAAAGTAGTAGTGGGAGGCTGTCACTAATGAAAGGCACCAAGCTGGAAGAAGTGATTTAAGAAGTCAGATCCGCATTTAAAAACTCCCTTCTCACACCTATGGGAGATAGGTATCCTCCTCATTCTCAGGGCAGAGGTCTGGGAGTTTGAGGGTTTTGAGCAGGATATTAGCAGTTCTTAGCATGGCACTCTTTTTTTTATATATATATATTTTTATTCATAATACAATTAAAACAACAATGGACAAACATGACATTCCAGAGTGAATTTTTCTATCAGTTCCTATCATAGTACAAAAAATTTATACATTGTTCTTAACCTCTATATAAACCTCATCTTTTATACAATACAATTATATATACAATTATATGTACAGTTATGTATATCTTTTAATTCTACCATTAGTTTGAAGTCCGAGCAGTTCTTAATTCATACCAGCGGTAAAATTTGCCCCAGATTTCGAAGTATTCGTGTTCCGTTTTGTCTTTCATAATCATTGTAAGCCTGTCCATCTCAGCACATATTAGAATTTTATGCAGGATCTCTTCTTCCGTTGGGGTTTCCTTGTTCCTCCAATTTTGAGCAAAAACCAGCCTGGAGGCCGTTAAAATGTGTAGCATTAAATAAAATACGCCTTTGTCATGTTTTTGCGTAGTTAAACCTAATAGAAAGAGTTCTGGTTTTGGTTCTACCGCTTGCTGTAATATTTCTTCCAACCATGTTTTAATCCTGTTCCAAAAATCACAAGCTCGCGTGCATTCCCACCACATATGATAGTAAGTTCCACTTTTCAAGTTACATTTCCAACATTTAGGGGAGACATTGGTATACATTTTAGACAATCTTGTGGGTGGGAGATGCCATCTATAAAACATTTTGTAAAGGTTCTCTTTGTAAGAGGTGGCCAAAGTATGCTTCTTGTTTCTTGCCCATAGTTCTTGCCATATATGCAGATCAAAATTAAGACCAAAATCCTTACTCCAATTCAACATAGTCACTTTTACTTGTTCCTCGTACGTTGCCTGATCTAGCAAATAGTAGTATAATTTTTTAATCATTTTATCCTCCGACCCCAAAATTATTTTATCCAATTCTATTGGTTCTAATTTAATGCCTAACTCTTGTTTGTCTTTCCGATATCTTGCCTGCAGTTGCAGGTATGCCCACCATTCTAATTCTATCCCTTCATCGTGGATGGTTTTCCTGGATTTCAATTCCCCTCTTTCATCTAAGATATTTTTATATGTTATGATCTTGTCTAATTGAGTAAATTTTGGGTGTACATATATTTCTAACGGTGAGATCCAACTAGGTACTTGGGTATAATTTGGTTGCCAAATTTTTGTCCATACATCAATAAGAGCTTGCCTAATATAGTGACTTCGAAAATATTTATGTACTTTATATTTATGATCCCATAATATGG